GTGCTTGCACCCATACCCACGTGCTTGCACCCATGCCCACGTGATTTCCCCTGCCTTCTGGCTTCCCCCATCCTCCCCCTCCCGTTCTCTCCTTCCCATCCTTCCCCTTCCGTTCCCCCCTCCCATCCTCCCCCTTCCGTCCCCCCCTTTCCATCCTTCCAAGCAGCAAAAAAGCGGCGCCAGTGCTGGCAGGGATGCCGAGTCCTCTTTCTCTCTCCAGCCATTAAACCCTCCCGTCCTCCTACCCCCACCTTTCCCCTCCCGTCCGCCTCCTCCCTCTTCCCGCCTCCTGACCTGCCTGACCTGCCTGACCTGCCTGACCTGCCTGACCTGCCTGACCTGCCTGACCTGCCTGACCTGCCTGACCTGCCTGACCTGCCTGACCTGCCTGACCTGCCTGACCTGCCTGACCTGCCTGACCTGCCTGACCTGCCTGACCTGCCTGACCTGCCTGACCTGCCTGACCTGCCTGACCTGCCTGACCTGCCTGACCTGCCTGACCTGCCTGACCTGCCTGACCTGCCTGACCTGCCTGACCTGCCTGACCTGCCTGACCTGCCTGACCTGCCTGTCCTGTCTTCCCCACTCCCCCTTGCAGCAAGAAAGTGGCGCCGGTGCTGGCGGGGACTCTGAAGCCAGAGTGCAAAGCGGTCAACTTTCTCAATGTGAGACCCCACACACTCCCACCATTCCGTATGTGAGCACCCACTCTCACCACACATTTATATATATATATATATATATATAAATAAACGTGCATATATATATATAAACGTGCACCCTAACCATTAAGAACCTTATGCAAGTGCCCTGCCTTGGTCCTGCCGTCCTCCACTCCATCACACACAACCCCAAGACGCCCAACATCCCACCCTGCCCTTCCATCCCTCACTTTCCTCTCTGCCCCTCCGCTCCCTCCCTCGTTCAAATTAAACCCACCCTGCCCTTCCATCCCTCACTTCCTTGTCTGCCCCTCCTCTCCCTCCCTTCCCTTGCAGATGAATCTACGCAAGTGCCCTGCCTTTGTGGTCGTACCTCCTTCACCCCTTGCTTCACTCCAATCCCACCCCTTTCTGCCCCTCCTCTCCCTCCCTTCCCTTGCAGATGAAGCTACGCAAGTGCCCTGCCTTTGTGGTCGTACCTCCTTCACCCCTTGCTTCACTCCAATCCCACCCCTTTCTGCCCCTCCTCTCCCTCCCTTCCCTTGCAGATGAAGCTACGCAAGTGCCCTGCCTTTGTGGTCGTACCTCCTTCACCCCTTGCTTCACTCCAATCCCACCCCTTTCTGCCCCTTCTCTCCCTCCCTTCCCTTGCAGATGAAGCTACGCAAGTGCCCTGCCTTTGTGGTCGTACCTCCTTCACCCCTTGCTTCACTCCAATCCCACCCCTTTCTGCCCCTCCTCTCCCTCCCTTCCCTTGCAGATGAAGCTACGCAAGTGCCCTGCCTTTGTGGTCGTACCTCCTTCCGCAACACGCAACCCCAAGAAACCCCTCATCCCTCCCTGCCCTTCCATTCGCCTCGCCACCACCACCCTGAACGTCAAACGGATACCGGTGAGTGAGTGCAGCACACAGTCAGGCCTGCACAGTTGTGACTGGCTCACACCACCCTGCCCACCATCCCTCCCTGCCCTTCCATTCGCCTCGCCACCACCACCCTAAATGTCAAACGGATACTGGTGAGTGAAGGAGAGAGTGAGTGAGTGAGTGAGAGTGAGAGAGTGTGAGCCTCAATTGACACCCGTAAGTGAGTGCGTGAGTGAGTGGGTGCAAATCAAGGATGACTTACTCTGCTCACCACCACTCACTCTGCTCACCATCACCACCACCCTAAACCCTGAAACGGACTTCTGTGAGTAAGTGTCCATAGATCAGGCGCCTCAAAAGATGAGGCTCAAAAGTCAGACTCCTGCGAGTAAGTATCCATTTTTGAGGCGTCTAGTTTTGAGGCGCCTCAAAACTAGGCCTCAAAAGATGAGCCTCAAAAGTCGGACTCCCGTGCGTACGTATCCGTCGCAGCCTATGAATCGATTTTTTAGTCGACTTAAAAATCAGCTATAAATCGTCCATGTTGGCAAACCCATATGCTTACACAGTCATGTGCTGTGATTCCCAAGAGTTAATCAAACCATACACTTGTACACTCATGTGCTGTGCTTCACAGGCGTTTTTTGTGATATATATGCACGTATATGTGTGTGTGTGTTTATAAAGACTGGCAGCGGGCCTAAGGGCATCGTGCAGCTGTCAACATGCATCAACCCCTCCCCCTTACTTTTCCCCTACCCCCCATCAGGCATACAGCAGGGCGTGCTTCACGGTGCACCTGTCATAACTCACCAACGCCCTTCCCTCACCCCTTCCCCTCCTCCCTCTTCCTCCCCCTCTTCCTCTCCATCGCCCATCAGGCATACAGCGGGGCGTGCTTCACGGTGCACCTGTCAACACTCACCATCAAGAGAGGCAGCGACCCAAACCAAGCGTATGGTGCGACCCTGAGCATGGACCTCTTCCCCCCTGCTACCCCCCTTCCCCCTTCCTACCCCCCATCAGGCATACAGCGGGGCGTGCTTCACAGTGCACCTGTCAACACTCACCATCAAGATAGGCAGTGGGCCCAAGGGCATGGTGCGGCTGTCGCCTGGAGATGGAAACATGCAGTTCCCTGAGGTTAGTGCTCTCTCATGCTCAGCTTTTGAGGCGCCTCAAAAGAATACCCAGTTCCCTGAGGTTAGTGCTTCTCACAGTCACCACTCACTCACAAGCACAATCACAAGCACACTCACACTCACCAATCTCACATCTGACCATCAAGATAGGCAACGGACCCAAGGGCATGGTGCGGCTGTTGCCTGGAGATGGCAACATGCAGTTCCCTGAGGTTAGTGCTCTCTCATGCTCAGCTCGCTCTCACACGCACATACACCACTCGCACTCACCACCACTCTCACACCTCACCATCGAGATAGGGAGTGGGCTGAAGGGCAAGGTGTGGCTATTGCCTAAGGACAGCAACACCCAGTTTCCTGCAGTGCATGCTCATGCTCACACTCACACTCACACTCACACTCGCACTCACAGTCACACTCACATTCGCACTCACACTCACATTCACACACACTCACCTCACTCGCACACGCACACCCACACTCACAGCTCACACTCACCACCCACACACCTGACCATCAAGATAGGCGGTGGATCCAAGGGCATGGTTTGGTTATCGCCTAACGACGGCAACACCCAGTTTTCTGAGGTGCATGTACGCACTCGCGCACTCACACTTGTGCCCACACTCGCCCTCACAATCACACTCACCATTGTCACACATCACCATTGTGGCTGTATGTGGTATTTGTCACCTTCTCTCTTGTCACTTCCATTCATCTTCCCCTCTTCCCCATTCTTCCCACCCCTCCCTCCCCATTTTCCCTGTGCCGTGCAGGCTAGGAGATGTTTAGTCTTTCGTACTCTATAGTGAGAGGGTGATTACCGTAGTGTACATGCATGGTAGCTTGGCACAACCCCTCGTTGTGCTAGATGCAATTTTTGTGCATTTCCTTATTAGCAGTTTCAAATATAATTTGGTTGGGCTTGAAAATGTTACAAACGGCTATATAATTTTTGCATGAAATACTTTTGTAGCTCACATATTTGCCTGCTACAACATGAATCACGATCTTTACAAAGAGAATATAGAATTAGGGTGTTCTTCTTAATCATGGACAGAAAGTTGCTCTTTCCTTCAACTGGTGTGGTGGTTCGACGTTAACGAGACAGCCAATATCGCATTTGCATTCACACCAACCAATCTCCTGCCATTCGCGCGTGAACCAGAATCAGTCGCCTGCCCAGCTTTGACTCGTCGCCTGGGTTTGAATGTAGGCGGTGTAGCCTGGAGACCCAAAAAAAGACGATTCTGGCACGGGAAAAGATCATATTAAGGCCGGACAGTGCCAGAAGGGTGATCAAACTAGGGCCGGAAAATCTCGACAGTAGGTTTTCAACCCGGAGCTGACCAAACGACTCGGCAAACAAGCCGAACCATTAGTAAAAGGTAATTGCTAAAAGAAACCTAATTTTGTGTTCGTATTGTTTATTGAGGGTTTTGACCGCCGCCTACTACAGCGCGCGCGTCGCCTTCTTCTGGAATCGAATTCGGCGTGTCAAATCGTGATTACGTAACAGCATAATATATTCTGGGTGATGCATACCACCTACCCAATCGGAAACCACAGAAAAACAAATATTACCCATTCGGAAACGGATACGACTCGGGAGGGATCAACCCTAAATACCAGGAAGGTCCATTTTTCAGGGTTTATCCATCCCGAAATTGCATCCAGGTTCCCAATGAGTTTTAGTTTTTTTTGCTGCCCTTGAGTTCCCGGTAGAGTCGGCTCGCTAAACGACACGCGAGCGAAAATGCGAGCCGGTACATGCCACTAGTAAAATGATTACGTGCAATAAATGAAGACTCTATGTTAATTCCTCTTTGTGAAGCGGTTTGGTAATTTCCGGGCCTCTCAGCCCCTGGTGGATCACCCCTCTGGCACTGCTCGGCCCTTGTATGATCTTCTCCCTTCTGGCACGCACAAGAATCGAGACAGACGAGACCTCTGACCAACCACGTCACCCTTGGGATTGCCGTACCACTTGTGTATGTTACTAGGGTGTTCACTTCTAGAATAATATATACTTTTACTCTGGTCACGCAGCCACCAAAGGCATGGTGGAGAGTGATTTTGCGGCATTTGTTGCGATGTAACCAGCTGCTGGTGTCACAGGCATTCATTTCTATGAGACGTCACACAAGCCGGTTTGAAATTACCTCAAAATCAGGGATCACGATGCTTTCGCCTCAGGGCGACAGTGGTGGATCGCTAAGAGCTGATCCGATGCAAGCAACCTGTTTGCCGCAGCTAGATTCATCATTTTCTCTCTCATGGTCGCATGACCAGTCGCAGGAGACGCATTGCCAGTCGCAGGACTCGTCGCAAATGGCATTCGCAAAAGTCTTACTCCAGCGGCTGCAAGCGCCGGGCGCGCACGTTTTTCTCCCAAACACCCCCTCTGCCGCCGCCTCCGCGCACCTGGCGTTGGAGTCCGCCGATCCTCTTCCCCCCGCCCCCGCTTCCGCCGATTTTTCCGCTCCATCCTTCCCTTGCGCGAAAAAGAGCAATGGTGGGGCCATTGTGGACTGGTGGTATCCTCTTAACGAGGTAAGCAAAAGGTCGGGGATAGACGGCGGCGTGGGGAAGGGAAAAGGGGAGGTGAAGGCGGGTAAATGGCCGGAGGAGGAGAATGGGGAGAAGGAGAAGAAGGCGGGGAAGGGTAAGACGGGGGGGAAGGGGAAGAAGGTGGGGAAAGGAAAGAAAGGAGCGAAGGGGAAGAAGGGGAAGAAGAGAGCGAATGGGGGGCAAGATTGGGAGAAGATTGGGGAGGAGAGAGGGAGTGTGGAGAGAAGAGGTGCAAAGAAGCGAAAGGGGAAGCCCCACCAGTACTGTGCAGGGGGAGGTGCCGCTACTGCTGAGGGCCCGACGTTTGAGGCTCCTCAAAAGAAGCAAAAGGGGAAGCTCCACCTAGTCTGTGCGAGGGGGGTTGCTGCCAGTGCTGAGGGGCACGATCCGCTTGAGAACCGGCTTCCTTCTGAGTCATCTCAGAAGCTATCTCACCAGTTCTGTGTGCGAGGGGTTGCTGCCGCTGCTGAGGGCCAGGATCAGCCTGAAAACCGGCTGCATATGCTGTGGCCAAGTGACACGAGCTTCGGTGATCCTAAGCTTAGCACGAGCTTCGGCGATTCTACGCTTGGCACGAGCTTCGGTGATTTTAGGCCCGGCACGAGCTTCAGTGATTCTAGGCTCGGCACGAGCTTCGGTGATACTAGGCTTGAGAAGAGCATCTTGATTGAGGGAGAGGCTGGTGGAGAGAGGGAGGGGATGTCGCGGACTGCTGGGGTTGGAGTTTCAAAGAAGGTGAAAAAGCGTAGGAGCGTGGAGGAAGTAGTTGCTCAGCTAAGCGCCAATAAGAATGGTGTCAATGCTCAGCTAAGCGCCAGTCTAGCTCAAAGTATCACAGCTCAGCTGAACGTCAGTCAGGGACAAAGTGTTGCTGAGGGTGTCGTTGCTCAGCTAAGTGCTATTCCAGCCCACGGCGTCACTGCGGAATTAAGAGTCAGTCTGGAGCAAGGTGCCGTCGCTCAGCTAAGTGTCGGAGCAGCTCAATCTGGCACTGATCGGCTAGTAAGTGTAGTTCGAGATGAAGGCGTCGGTGTGACGCTAAATTCAGAGCAGGGAGAAAAAAATTCTAGCACTTACACTCAGCTAAGTGCCCAGCAAGGCACGTGTCTTGGTGGTGGTCCGGGTGGTGGTCCGGGTGGTGGTTCGGATAATGGCTTGGATAGTGGTTCGGGTAATGGTCAGAGAGATCGGGCAGGTGAAAATTTCAGTCAAAGTCTGGGGACGATTCTTAGTGATGCTCTCGGTGCTAGGGTAGGAGCAGCAGAGGAGAGGGAGGGGGTTGATTGCAATCAGCAGGAGCGGTTGCAGCAGGGAGGTGTGGGGGGAGGGGGGGGAAAGGTTGGTGCGGCGGAGGTGAGGGATAGAGGACGGGAAGGAGTGGGTGGTGGTGTTTCAGCGTGTGGGAAATGTGAAGGGTTGGATCGAAGGGATGAGGGAGGAGGCGTTGACTTAGACGGAAGGGATAAGAGGGGAGGTGCGGGAAGAGGCGAGGAAGGAGAGGAGAACGAGGGGGAGGAGGAGGAGGAAAATGGGGAAGGGCAGGATGAGCGGAAGAATACGGATGGAAACAATGGGAAGGAACGAAAAGAGGAGGAGAGGAAGGAGGAGCAAGGGAAGGAGAAGGAGGGGAAGGAGGCGGAAGGGCACGATGAGAAGGAACAAAAAGAGGAGGAGAGTAAGGAGGAGCAAGGGAAGGAGAAGGAGGGGAAGGAGGCGGAGATGGGGAAGGAGGAAAGGATGGAGAAAGGATCAGAGGGTGCGACGGGCTTACTAGTTTCTGGTTTTGAGTCGACTCAAAAGCAGACGGGCTTAGTTTCTGGGCGGGCACGAAACAGGGAGGTGGAGCGAGAAAAAGAGAAGCAGGAGCGAGAGCAGGGAGGAGAGGAGAAGGAAGACGGGAATAAGAGGGGATTGGAACGGGAGGAGGGGAAGGGGGAGGGAGAGGAGACAGAAGTTGAAGAAAAGGAGATGGAGAAGAGTAGGGGGTTGTTGCAGGGGCTGGGGAAGCAGGAGGAGGGAAAGCAAGAGGAGGGGAAGCAAAATGAGGGAGAACAGGGGAAAGGGGAGAATCAGGGGGGAGAGAAGGAAGGCGGAGAAAGGAAGGAAGAAAACAAGGAAGGGGATGCGCAGGGGTGCAATAAAGAGGAAGAAGAAGAGGAGGAGTCGGAGGGGGAGAGGGATGGAGGAGGCGAAACGACAAGGAAGAGAAAGCGCGAGGAAGATTCCTCCTGGTGGTGGCGAGATTTGGACGGACCTGAGGAGGAGGAGGAGTGGGTAGCAGGAGAGGGAGTGAGGAGGAAGTGGGGGAGAGCGCGGAGTGTGAGGGAGCTGCTCAGTGCCACGTCAGCAGTGGGGAAGAGGGTCGTATGGTGGAGGAAGAAGTACAAGAAGAAAGGGGTTGCAGGGAAGGGGAGTGTGGGGAAGGGGATTGGGGGAAAGGGAGGTTGGGGGAAAGGGAGTGGGGGGAAGGGGCGCTGGGGGAACAAAATGCAGGGGAAGGGGAAGGGTAAGGGGAAGGGTAAGGGTAAGGGGAAGGGGAAAGGGAAAGGAAATGCTAAGTGGGATCAAAAGGATGGGAAAGAGGAGGGAAGGAGTGATGGTGCTGGGTGGGCAGGGCGGTTGCGGGGAAGGGACAGGGCAGCAGGCAGTAGTGTTGCAAGTGGTGCTGCAAGTGGTGCTGCAAGCAATGTGGAAGCAGGGAATGCTGCCGCTGGCAGTGCTGCGGCAAGCAACGGGAGCAATGAAACAGATGCGAAGGCGGGTGGAAAGTGCAATCCAAAGAAGGCCGCAGGAAAGAACGTGTCAGTGGTGACAAAGTTGGCAAATGCGAGAATGGCGGCTGCAGCTGGAAAGGCGCCAGCAGTGGAAATATTGCCGGAAGCAGCAAGAGAAGTGTCAGCAGCAGGAAAGGCAGAGGGCAAGGCAGAGGGGAAGGCAGAGGGGAAGGCAGAGGGGAAGGCAGAGGGGAAGGCAGAGGGGAAAGAGGGCACGGCGGCAGCAGCTAGAAAAGAGTCAGCAGAAAAACAATTGTCGGCAGCAAAGAAAGGGTCGGCAGCAGGAAAGGCAGAGAGGGTGGGGGAGGACGAGGAGGAGGAGGGGGTGGAAGAGGCGGAGGAGGAGGAGGAGGAGGAGGAGGAGGAGGAGGAGGAGGAGGAGGAGGAGGAGGAGGAGGAGGAGGAGGAGGAGGAGGAGGAGGAGGAGGAGGAGGAGGAGGAGGAGGAGGGGGGGGGGGGGGGGAGGAGGAGGAGGAGGGGAAGGAAAAGGGGAAGGAGGAGGGGACGGAAGGGAGGGAGGAAGTGGGGAAGGAGGGTGTGGAGGAGGGGGTGCAGGGAGGGGAGGGAAGGGGGAACTGTAGCAGAGAAGAAGCTGGAGGAATAGAGGCAGGAGAAGGGAGCGGAGGAGGAGGAGAGAATGGAGGAGAGAATGGAGGAGAGAGAGGAGGAGAGGATGGAGGAGAGAATGGAGGAGAGAGAGGAGGAGAGAGTGGAGGAGAGAGAGGAAGCGCGGGAGGAAGCGCGGGAGGAAGCGCGGGAGGAAGTGGAGCCACAAAAGGGAAGAGGAAGTGGAGAAAGTGTGAGCAGGGCAGCTAGGCTGAAAGGGGTAAGAGACGTGTGAGGCAGTGGAAGGTGAAGGAGAGGGCGGAGAGGGAGGAGAGGGCGGAGAGGGAGGAGAGGGAGGAGAGGAAAGAGAAGGAGAGGGAGGAGATGAAAGAGAAGGAGAGGGAGGAGAGGAAAGAGATGGACGAGGGGAAGGAGAGGGAGGAGAGGAAGGAGAGAAATGAGAGGGAGGAGAGAAAGGAGATGGACGAGGGGAAGGAGAGGGAGGAGAGGAAGGAGAGAAAGGAGAAGGAGGAGAAAAAGGAGAGGGAGGAGAGAAAGGAGAGGGAGGAGGGGAAGGGGAGGAAGGAAAGGAAGGAGAGGGAGGAGAGGGAAGAGACGGAAGAGAGGGAGGAGAGGAAGAAGAGGGAGGAGAGGGAGAAGAGGGATAAGAGGGAGGAAAGGGAGGAGAGAGATAAGTGGGAGAGGGATAAGTGGGAGGAGTTGGATGAGTCACATGAGGCAAAAGAAACCAGGGGGAGGGAGAAAAAGAAGGAGAAGGAGACAGAAGCGAGGAAGGAGAGGGAGAGAAAGCAGGATCAAGAGGAGAAAGGGAGGGGGGAAACAGCCTCTGCTCCTGCTGCTGCAGCTGCTGCTGGGGTGGAAATTCCAACTGCAGGAACAGCTGCAAAGGGAGCACAGAGAGCAGAAGCCGCGGCAGTGGGAGCATTAAGAGCAGAAGTAGCAGCAGCACAACCAGCAGCATCAGCAGCAGCAGCACCACCACCAATGCTGGCAATGACTAGCAGCCGTGCTGCTCTGCTTGCACGTGAACGGGATGCTGCAGGTGATGTTACAGCAGAAGCATCGCCCTTGCCACCACAAGACGCAACACAACGAGCAGCAGCACCACCACAAATGGCAGTGACTAGCAATCGTGCTGCTCTGCTTGCACGTGAACGGGATGCTGCAGGTGGCGCTGCAGGTGATATGGCAGTAGAAGCATCGCAAGACGCAACACAACCAGCAGCAGCACCACCATCAACTGCAGCAGGAGCAGCAGCAGCAGCAGGTGATAATGCTGGTGGTTCTGCTGGCGATGCTGCATTGGGTATGGCAGCCGAGCTGTCGCCCCTGCCACCACAAGACGCAACACAACCAGCAGCAGCACCACCATCAACTGCAGCAGGAGCAGCAGCAGCAGCAGGTGATGGCGCTGGTGGTTCTACTGGTGATGCTGCATTGGGTGTGGCAGCCGAGCTGTCGCCCTTGCCACCACAAGAAGCAGCACAGCCAGCAGCTGTACCACCATCAACTGCAGCAGGAGCAGCAGCAGCAGCAGCAGGTGATGGTGCTGGTGGTTCTGCTGGTGATGCTGCATTGGGTGTGGCAGCCGATCCATCGCCCCTGCCACCACAAGACGCAACACAACCAGCAGCACCACCACCATCAACTGCAGCAGAAGCAGCAGCAGCAGCAGCAGCAGCAGCAGGTGATAATGCTGGTGGTTCTGCTGGTGATGCTGCATTGGGTGTGGCAGCCGATCCATCGCCCCTGCCACCACAAAAAGCAGCACAGCCAGCAGCAGCGGCACCACCATCAACTGCAGCAGGAGCAGCAGCAGGAGCAGCAGAAGCAAGTGCGGGTGGGCTTAAAGATCCAACACACGTTTGAAGATCCACCACCATCACCACCACCATCACCACCAGCAGCACCACCACCATCACCACCAGCAGCACCATCAGCAGCAACAGCAGCAGCACAAACGGCAGCAGCAGCACAAACAGCAGCAGCAGTGTCTAGCAGTCGTGCCGCTCGGTGTAGTCGTGATGATGCAGGTGTGACTGAAGGGGGTGTGACTGAAGGGGTTGTGACTGAAGTGGGTGTGACTGAAACAGCACCAGCACAAGCAGCAACAGCAGCAGCACAAACGGCAGCAGCAGTGTTTAGCATTTGTGCTGCTCGGTGTATTCGTGATGATGCAGGTGTGACTGAAGGGGGTGTGACTGAAGGGGGCATGATTGAAGGAGGTGTGGTGGAAGTGGGTGTGACTGAAGGGGGTGTGGGTGAAGGGGGTGTGGTGGAAGTGGAGGTGATTGTAAAGGGCGAGGCGGTTGTGCGTTCTCCCAACCCCCAATCGACAGATAGCAACCACTCATCCCTAAGAACAGCTGGAAGAACCACAAATGTGTCAGATGTAGCAGCACCACCACCACCACCACCGCCACCACCACCACACGTAGCAGCACCACCAGAAGCACCATTACCAGCAGCACCAACAGCACCACCAGAAGCACCATTACCACAAGCAGCAGCAGCAGCAGCAGCAGCAGCAGCAGCAGACGGACGGAGGAAGCGCTAGAGGAAATGGCGTGGAGCATCAAAGGTGGAGGGTGGTGGAGACTCGCTGCTTCCAAGAACCTTCCCTCACGATGAGGGGCGGCAGGCAGCTGTTTCCAGTGCGCTCATGCTGCTGAGTCAGCACTGCACCACCACAATGCCACGTGCACCTGCTGCTGACGTGGCATGCCAAGGCGTGCTTGATGATGTGGTGGCTCGAGAGGGTCGCGGCAGGATGGTGTCATGTGGCAAAAAGGCTGACGTGGCAGGTACTGGTTACGTGGCAGCTGGTGCAAGGTCACACGTGGGTGTTGCTGGCATGGTTGCGAGGCCAGAAAGAGAAGCAATTGCAGGGGTTAATATGATGTATGAAGAAGAAATGGGTGGGGCGGCTGCAGGTGATGCGACAAGGTCACGCGTGGGTGTTGCTGGCATGGGTGTGAACACTGGAAGAGATGCAAGTGCAGGGGGTAATGTGATGTGCGAGGAAGAAATGGGTGGGGCGACAGCGGTAGTGGGACTCTGGCGGCAGAGGGTAAGGGAGAGGGAAAGGGAGAGGGAAAGGAAGAGGAAAAGGGAGAGGGAAAGGGAGAGGAAAAGGGAGAGGGAAAGGGAGAGGGAAAGGGAGAGGGAAAGGGAGAGGGAAAGGGAGGGGGAGAGGGAGTGGGAAAGGAAGAGCAGAAGGGAGCGCGAACAAGAGGGAGAAAGGGAGGGGAAAAGGGAGAGCCAAGGGGAGAGGGAAAGGGAGAGGGAAAGGGCGAGGGTGAGGGAGAGGGAAAGAAAGAGCAGAAGGGAGAGCGAACGGGAGGGAGAAAGGGAGGGGAAAAGGGAGAGCCAAAGGGAGAAGGGAAGGCAAGATTTGGGGAATGTTCCCTGATTAATGCTCCTCATGTTAAGTGTGACTATAATGAGGGCGATGCTGATGTGGCAGCAAAGGACGGGGATCGACTGAGAATCTACCTGGAAATCCACCTGACAAATCACTGGTAATTCCACCTGAGAAAACACCTGAGGGTATGCCTGCCTTGTGTGATGTGCCATGCAGGTCATTTCATCATGGAATGTGCCAAATTCAACAGTGAATTTAAGGCGTGGGTGTGCGAGTGTTAAGGCACCTATAAAAACACATGGGGTGCTCAGCTCAGGTTCGGGGTGCTGATCTCAGGTTTGGGTTCCTGAGCTGAGATTCGGGGTGCTGAGCTCAGGTTCGGGGTGCTGAGCTCAGGTTCGGGTTCCTGAGCTGAGATTCGGGGTGCTGAGCTCAGGTTCAGGGTGCTGAGCTCAGGTTTGGGTTCCTGATCTGAGATTCAGGGTGCTGAGCTCAGGTTCGGAGTGTGGATGCTCGAACAAGGGAGGCACCTCAAAAAATAAGCCAGGCGGTGGGTTGAGTGTATCAGATTTGGGGTGCGGATGTTTGAACAAAGGAGGCATAGCGTGTGGGAACCAGGGGAGGTGGGTGAACCAGGGCAGGTGCATGAATGAAACGAGGGGGGTAATGGCAACCTTTTAGGTGCAATCAGAAATGCAACTCCAACTGCTACCAGAAGCGCAACTGCAAGTGGTGGAAACAGAGCAGCAGCAGTTGTAGTGGTGTCACATGCAGCAGGTTATGCAGATGCAGTTGCAGTAGCAGCCAGAGCAGCAGGAGCAGCGGTGGATACATCAAGACAGCAGCTGCACCAGTGGCATCACATAGAGCAGCAGCAGCAGTGGTGTGTCACATGCAGCAGGTTATGCAGACGCAGTTGCAGTGGCAGCAGCAGGAGCTGAGGAGAGGAGGGAGATGAAAGAATTGGTGGATGCAGCACCATCGCATGCAGCCACAGCCGCAGCAGCAGCAGCAGTAGCAGCAGCAGCAGCAGCAGTGGTGTGTCGCATGCAGCAGGTAATTCAGAGATGCAGGAGCACAGAGCACAGAGCACAGAGCACAGAGGCAGGCATGGGATGGGCAGCAGCGAACAGCGTAGAGGCAGATAGGAGGGACAGCTGCTCGCAGATTTCGTTTTGAAGCGCCTCAAAATATGGGAGGGGGAGCAGTGAGGGGCCAGCGTAGAAGCAGATAGGAGGGACAGCTGCTGCAGCTGGGTACAGAAGCGGCAAAGGAAGGTCAGAGGCAGCAGCAGTCTGTGTGGAAGCGGATTTGGGCGGGCAAGCGGCTGCAGGTGCAGCTGTGTGTGCAATGTTCAGTCATTTCCCAGAGAGCTACAGTCGTGTAGTAGGCATAAGCCTTAGAATTCGCTCTGTGTAAAACAAAGTGCTCAGAGCGGATTTGGGCTGGCAAGCAGCTGCAGGTGCAGCTGTGTGTGTGCTGTGGGCGCAGAGAAGTGGTGCTGCGGGCGCAAGGGAGAAGTGGTGCTTTGGGCGCAAAGGAGAAGTGGTGCTGCGGGTGCAAGGGAGAAGGGGTGCCGTCGGCGCAAGGGAGAAGTGGTGCTGTGGGCGCAAAGGAGAAGTGGTGCTGCGGGCGCAAGGGAGAAGGGGTGCCGTCGGCGCAAGGGAGAAGCGGTGCTGTCGGCGCAAGGGAGAAGGGGTGCTGTGGGCGCAAGGGAGAAGGGGTGCTGCGGCGGAGAGTACAAAGGCAGGGCTGGCAGGAGCAGTGGCAGGCACTGGAGCTGGGATGTAGGCGCAAGAGAAACTGGCAGATGCAACAACGGCAGGGGCAGTGGCTGGTAGTCTTTTGCGGCGCCTCAGAAGTGGTGCTGCTGGGGAGAGTGCAGTAGCAGCACTGGCAGGAACAGTGGCAGCACTGGCAGGAACAGTGGCAGCACTGGCAGGAACAGTGGCAGCACTGGCAGGAACAGTGGCAGCACTGGCAGGAACAGTGGCAGCACTGGCAGGAACAGTGGCAGCACTGGCAGGAACAGTGGCAGCCACTGCAGCTTTAGGCGTAAGAGAAAAATGGCATAGGCAGGTACGGGCGGAGCTGTGGCAATTGAAGGATTAGCATTGGCAGGCACTGGAGCTGGGATGTAGGCGCAAGAGAAAACTGGCAGATGCAACAACGGCAGGGGCAGTGGCTGGTAGTCTTTTGCGGCGCCTCAGAAGTGGTGCTGCTGGGGAGAGTGCAGTAGCAGCACTGGCAGGAACAGTGGCAGCACTGGCAGGAACAGTGGCAGCACTGGCAGGAACAGTGGCAGCACTGGCAGGAACAGTGGCAGCACTGGCAGGAACAGTGGCAGCCACTGCAGCTTTAGGCGTAAGAGAAAAATGGCATAGGCAGGTACGGGCGGAGCTGTGGCAATTGAAGGATTAGCATTAGGAGGTATGGAAGGAGAAGTGGCAAGTACGGGAGGAGCAGTGGCAGGTACGGGAGGAGCGGAAGCAGGTACGGGTGGAGCGGAGGCAGGTACGGGAGGAGCAGAAGCAGGTATGGGAGGAGCAGCGGCAGTAAGTGAATCTGTGTGTTGCAGGTGCAAGACAAAAGTGGTTGAAGCAGCAGCAGAGAGTGTGGAAGCTGGTATGGTAGGTGCTGCGACTGTGTGCTGTTGCCACAAGAGAAGACTTGCTGAAGTAGCAGACATTGCAGATCATGCTGTTTAGATGGTTTGATTTAGACACAGAAGCAGCTGCTTCTTTTGATGCAATCCGCAGATGGCATATGAACGAAAGAGGCCGAAGTGGTCAAGCTGTAACATTAGTTCATTGTGACTATCTATGTGTTACATTCATACTTTTATTGCTTCTATTAATTGTATTGCATAGTATTGCTTCTGCAGATTGGTTTGCATGGTTTCTGTGCTTATTAAACTCGGTCACCTGTACGAATAGTCACCTTCGGTAAAGCTTTAAGCTTTGGAGCTTTTATCAATACAAGGTGACGTGTGCTGTAACATAATGGTAAGTGTAGATGCATTAATGCTCTGGCCAAACCAAGGTAAAATTTGGGTCGAATCATAACACGTCCTTCTTATGAAACACTATTCCGCGTGTGATGAGTCGGCTAAAAAATCGACTCACCACACGTACGTCCTCCTCATATAGCACTATTCCTTCCATGCATGTGCCTCTGTCTCTTTTAGGCCGTATTGTCCTCATTCCCACTTTGCATTAGGATTCTCTTCCCTAAGAAACAACTCACTTCCTCAAACTACTGTTATTCCATTCCACCCATTCTCATTCCTCCTCTTCACTCCTCTCCTTTCCTCGACCCTCCTCCAAACTTCTCACAACTCCCCTCCCCTCCTCTCCTTTCATCACCCCTCCTCTCCCCACTTCAACCGTCCTCTTCCCTCCTCACACTCCTCGTGCTCCAGATGAGGGTGAGCTGGTTTTCCTCTCCTGTCTCAGCTTGCGCCACCTCCCTGCGCACCTTAAGATGCTGCTGCTGCTGCCGCGAGTGCTGATGATGATGCTGTTGCTTCTGCTCTAGCTGCTGCTGCTGCTTCTGATTCTGTCGCAATTGCCTCTGCTCCTGCCGCTGCTCCTGCTCCTGCTCCTGCTGCTGCTCCTGCTCCTGCTCCTGCTCCTGCTCCTGTTCCTGCTTCTGCTCCTGCTCCTGCTCCTGCTCCTGCTCCTGCTCCTGCTCCTGCTCCTGCTCTTGCTCCTGCTCCTGCTCCTGCTCCTGCTACTGCTCCTGCTCCTGCTCCTGCTCCTGCTCCTACTCCTGCTGCCTTTTCTGCAACTCGTATTCCTCCTCCTGCTGCAGCTGCTTCTCCGCCCACTTCTACTTCCATAGGCTCCATAATGGATGCATACTGGCAACAGGGGCATCACCACGAAATTAACATGCCATCAATAGGCCAGGCAGCTTTTGAGGCACCCCTCACTGCCTTCCCTCTCATCCACAATGGGTGCCATCCTGGGAACAGGACCAACATGAAGAACATAACTCACCTTGGAGGCTCCTGAGCAGACCCTCACTGCTGTTGCTGCTTCCCCTGCTACTACTCCCTAGTGTCTACTCCCACCGCTGCTGCCCTGCCGTCTTCTATTCCCATGGGCTTCATAATAGATGACGTACTGGCAATGGGAGTAGTTGGATAGAGTCATTCAGGCGCTGCTGCTGCCGCGATTGATGCAAGCCGCTAGGTGACTGCACGTGTGGCACAGGAACAGTAGAGGCAGAAAGTGCTCAGTCTGTAACATTAGTTGAGTTCTTATTATGTGTTCATACTTATATTGCTTATATGGATTGTATTGTACAATCCTTTTTTTTGTTACAGATATTCAAATAAGGATGTTATTTCAACTACCAACCTGTACCCACTACTAGGCCTTCAATCCTGACTTTCTTTATGGAGTGTTTAACGGTATGGTCAATATTCCTCCACCTCGTGTAGTGAGCTTGCAAAAGGGTATTCATTCCCAAGCGTGTGACACTCTATCCCTTGAAAGATATTACCCTCATTCTCTCATATGTTCCCCACTAGCCCCTCCGCAAATAGCTCATCTTCCACTCTCGCCTCTCCACCTCTCTTCCTTCTCAAGCCCCCTTTTCCAGAAATCCAATTTAGAAAATAGGCTATGATTTTCTTTCCCTCAATGCCCCTCCGCACATGCCTCTTATTCCATTCCACCTGTCCTCTCCCCTCGTAGTCCCCCCTCTCCACTCCTCAAGCCCTCTCTTTCCTTCTCACCACTCCTCACTTCTCCCCCTCCATCCTCTCCCTCCCCAGCCTTATTCACTCTCCTCTGCTGTTGCTTCTCCTCATCCTCATCCTCCTCCTCCTCTTCCTCCTCCTCCTCCTCCTCCTCCTCCTCCTCCTCTTCCTCCTCCTCCCCCCCCCCTACCCCTCCTCCTCCTCCCCCCCCCCCCCCCCCCCTCCTCCTCCTCCTCCTCCTCCTCCTCCTCCTCCTCCTCCTCCTCCTCCTCCTCCTCCTCCTCCTCCTCGTCCCCCCCCTCCTCCTCCTCCTCCACTTGTTGCTGATCTTGTGGCTCCTGATCCTGCTACTGATTCTGCTGCTTCTAATGTTGTTTCTGTGTTCCTGCTTATGCTGCTGCTGCTCCTGCTGTTGCTGCTGCGGCCTGTGCTTCTGCTGCTGCTGCCACTGCTTCTCCCGCTGGTGCTTCTTGTTGTCTTATACGTCCATGGGATTAGTTTTGAACGCCATTATGGCAAGGGTGACATCATCAAGACAATAAAATGCCAGGCTGCTTCTGAGGCGTCTCTCACTGCCTTCCCTCATATCCATTTTTTTCTCTGCTGTCATATTTCTCACTGCCTTTGTGCCGGCGAAGGCAAGTGCCATCAAGACATGTTCAAGGACACAATGGAGTTACTGCTTCGTCCATGTCTCCATGATTTTTTTCAATAAAAGTGAGCTTCCTTTGGATAGGGGCACAGGGAGAAGTAGAGGGGAGTGGGTGCCATTAAGACCTGCCTAGAGCTAAAATTCACGTGAGCATTGAAAAGGATGTTGTTGTACAGGGGAAATCAATCAGGGGTTTCATGGGTGAAGGGCGACCAAGGGAACTTTTGTATTATCCAGCACGCGCCTATGGGGCGGGTGTCTGCATATTTTTGGCAGAAGAAGATTTTGATTGCTGCATATGCAGCTGCACCTACTTTTGGGAGTGCTTGTCATGTTTCTTTTCATGTGTGTGTTAAACAAGCTGCGCTAGGATCGCAAGCTGATGAGTGAGGTTGCAGTTTGGTGCACTGACAACTATGCTTGGATGCTCCTGCGTCTGTTACTGACTTGTGCATATTTATTGAGAACTCGGTAAGACAAACTGTTCGTGAGGTCAAATGGGCATAAGGCGGTTAACTAGAGTGTGGAGGAAAGGGAAGGTGGGGAGGATATTTGTAGAATCTATCTGCAATTGTTCTCTCAATTTCAACTGTCACCTGATTCCACTGGTATTATGAAAACAACGCATGCTGCTCTTTGAATACCATTAATATGTTGGGGATATAATTGGATTGATGTGTACCATTATTGCAGTAGTGGGCAGCAGATCAAATCGATGACGTCCAAATTACTATTTCCCCACTCCCCAGCCCTGTCGACCCCTCACTTCCCTACTGAACGTACAGCTGCCCATATACAACGCCTTGGGAGTGACAGCAAGGGCGACCCTGGGCCACTGCAGTGGTGTGTGGTAGACTGCTTGTCCTGCACATCACATGTCATTTTCCCATTTACAGAGTTTACAACATGACACGACTATCAAATTCCATGGCTAGTAATGCCGACTAGATCGACATATGCTATTCTAAGTATATAGACAGCGTAAAATAATACATTGTGTGTTGAACCAATGGGATGGGTGCATATCAGAAGTTTAGACATGTTTGCTCTCTCCAGTTTCTTTGCCCTATTTCTTACTTTCGTAGAGTGAACTGGATGACCAAAGTGGAGTGCTCTTTGGAAGTCCTCGTAGTCGCACTATAATGAATCCCCTCGCTGACCCTCGGGAATATCGAAGGATGTGTCCCTCAAGCCCAGCCTGGCAGCCATCGGCCGAAAATATCCAGATGCACAGAAACAAAAACAGAGCAGGCAACTTCTTTGTTGCATTGCATCTCCAAAAGTCGAGCCTTTCCCTTGATATTTCCAGGTATCCAGCCCACAGGCATCAGTCGCTTTCGGAATTTAGTGCTTCGTGATAGGGCAGAGCTTGGGAGCATTGGATAGGCTTATGATGGCAAGGGTACAGCTAGCATTGACGAGTGGACCTCGGAAGCGTGACGGAAACTTTCTGGCGTTAGGCACGACGCTTCTAGTACGGGGATAGCACATGACGAATTGCACTACTAGTATGTTGTTTTTCAGAACGTATATTCCAGGCTCTTGAAAAGCTGTCTGCTAGATTTACGGCTTTGCCGTTTTAGAGCTTATCTTGGAGCTCGTTTCAGTTACTATTATTAATTTGTATGCTCGCTCGACATCTATGGCGTGCTGAGCGATTAAGATAAGTATCGACGGCGCTGTTGCGAATGACCAATCAGAGCACGCGACGTTTCGAGTGGAGGTTAGAGGACCAGCTGTAAGAAGCAGCGGCTGATTGGGAAGTTAATAATTACGGTCGCGACAACTGAACCGCGTGAGAAGGAAGTGAGTCGTTACAAGGTTGTAGTAATTGAATAGAACCAGAATCTGAAGAATTTAGTTGAAGGATAAGACTGTAACCACGGCTGGCGGTGGTTCCTCGTTCGAGTCTCAGGAGCGATGCGATGCAGTGAGAGTTCGAGAATACGCTTATATCGGGGATGGCGAGTGCAGTCTCGGAGCTGGAAGATTAGGAGGAGGAGGGGGAGCAGCAGAAGGAGGACTGGAATGTGGGAGGGAAATTGAAGGTGGGTTTGACTATTTGGAAAGGCCTCAGGATATGTTGGGAGAGAGGAGCACGGAGAGGAGGTTTAATGAGTCGCTCCAACAGCAGCAACCTAGGAAGCAGGACGAACAGTGCCCGGAGAAGGAGCAGCAGCAGGAGCAACAGGGGGAGCGACAGGAGAGGCAGGAGAAGGAGCAGCAGCAGGAGCAACAGGAGGGGCAAGGGCAGGAGGAGGAGCAACATCAGGAGCAGCTGGAGGAAAAGCGCCTGACGCATAATCATCGCCTGGAGGGTAGGCCGTTAGGAATTTCTCACAAGCCCGCAGGCCCAATCTCAAGCTCTCGTGCACGCCTAGTTTCATGGCGTACTGGCGCAAGCCAATGCCTAAAAATCGGCTCTGCGGGCTTTAGGCTCTTAGAGGAAAATGAACCGGACGGTTCTCAGACAGTTGCTGAGCTGCAAGGGCCTGTGGTAACCACAGATGCGGAGGTTACCGAAGGTGAGCTCGTAGTTGGGACTGCAGTGGTAACTAGGGGTGCAGTGGTAACTGGAAATGCAGTGGTAACCGGAGATACGGTGGTAACCAGGGGCAGAACACTCTGCGAAGCAGGCTCTGCAGGTGGGTCTGACAGAGGAAATCCGACGTCCAGGAATGAACCAGGACAGATTGATCCAACGGAGAGAAGCAGCTTAGGAGGAAGGCGTGGGTCAGCTAGGAGTGGCCATGGCGGAGCAGGGAGATGGGCAAGAATGGGAGGAGCTGGTGGGTGGCTCGCTCCACGCCTTGCTGCTGCCGGCCTCATTCCAAACGCTGCCTTGACGCCTGCTGCTGGTCTATTTTCAAACTTAGACTCAACTCCTACTGCTGGTCAAACCCTGAATTCAGACTCAACTCTTGTTGCATATCTAACCATCAACGCTGCCTTGAATCCTGCTGTCTCTGCTGCCACTGCGAATGCCACTGCCACTGCTGCCGCGGCCGCCGCTGCTGCTCCTGCCACCGCTACTGCCACTGCCACTGCCACTGCCTTTGCAACTGCAATCTCCGCTGCGACTGCTGTTGCTAGTGGTGCTTCTGGTGCACCTCCTGCTACTGGTGGTGCTGCCGCTGCTTCTGCTGCTGATGCTGCTGCTGCTCTTGCTGCTTTGTCCGGTGCTGGGGGCGTTTCTGCTGCTGCTGGTGCTGCTGCTCGAGTCACTTTAGGTGTTGGGGGTGGTGCAGAGAGGTCAGAGGAGGCACTGCTGGTGCCAGCGCTACACAGCGGGTTAAACAGTGGGAGCTGCGGAACAGAGGATAGGATCCTCCTGGGCCAATCAGATTCTGATGATCGCCTTGCTGTAGGGATTGCGCTGCCACGTCAGCAGCAGCAGATTCTCAATCGTCGTCAGCAAGAGCAGCTGCCACATCATCTGCAGCTGCCAGCTCATCACCAGCAGCTGCCGAGTCAGTTTCCACAACCCTGGCACATGTGGCACGATCAGCACCGTCGACATCATCACGATCAGCATCATCATCACGACCAGCGTCAGCAGCAGTATCATCAGACTCAACAGCAACATCCATCCCGGTTGCAACACCAGGATCAGCATCAGCACCACCAGCAGCAGGAGGAGGAAAATCGTCCACCCTACGAATTTCTGCAACAGCGGCAGCAGCACCAGTTGCAGCAACAGCAGCAGCAACAGCAACACCATCAACTGCAGCAACAGCAGCAACACCCCCAACAGCACCTGCAGCCGAGTCAGCACGCTCTTGAGGGGCAAGTATGGAGAGGAAGGGAGGTGCTACAGGTTGTACCTGCAGGCTCCCTGCTCCTGAGCTTGAGGGGGAGCCTCGGGGAGGGTGGAACTGGGGAAGGCGGGACTGAGGATGGGGAGGCTAGCGACCTTAGGACTGGTATGGTTAGGGAGGAGGGAGGAAGGGGGGAGCGGAGAGGAGGGGGGAGAAGAGAGGAGGAGAGAGGAGGGGCGGAGAGAGCGGAGGCGAACAGAAGAGGGGAGGAGAGAGGAGGGGCAGAGAGAGGAAGGGCGGAGAGAGGAGGTGTGGAAAGAGGTACTGGGATGGAGAGAGGGGTAGAGGCGGAAAGAGGGGAGGGAAGGGAGAATGGGTTGGGGGTAGCGCGAGGGGTGGGATCTGGGAACGGGGTAGGGGTGGAAAATGGGGTATGGGCGGGGAGAGGTGCAGGTATGGAAAATGCAGCTGACGTGATAAGGGCATCAGAGGAAGGGAGAGGGGGGGGCAGGGAAGGGAGATGGGGAGGAGAGGAGGTGTTAAGGGTTGATAGGAATTGGGGGGATTTGAGAGGTAGCTGGGGAGAAGCTGGGTTGCTGTGGCGGAAGGGAGGAAGAGGAGGGAGAGGAGGGGGAGGAGAAGAGGCGGAGGAGGAGTTGGGGGAGGAGGAGGAAGCTGTTGCAGGGTTCAGCCAGGAGGAGCGCTGTGTGTGGAGGGGTAGGGAGAGACCAGGAACAGTAGGTGGCGTTGGGCGAGGTGGAGGGTGTGGATTAGAGGAGGGGGGAGGAGGAGGAGGAGGAGGAGGAGGAGGAGGAGGAGGAGGAGGAGGAGGAGGAGGAGGAGGAGGAGGAGGAGGAGGAGGAGGAGGAGGAGGGGGGGGGGGGGGAGGGGGAGGAGGGGGAGGATGGGGAGCCGTAGGAGAAGGGGGTGAAGCACACGCAGCTGGCGAGAGAGGGAATGGTTTCCCCCGGGCGAGGTCTCCCATACCAAAGCAGATTTCGCTCTGGCAATCCACAGGCAGAAACCGAGCCAAGCCGCGCGCAGGCTCGGCAGGAGGTCCGGGTCTAGGCCTGGAACTAGGTCTGGGAGTCGCCCTGGAGCCAGGTGCAGCATCGTTCCAAGTAGAAAGGAGAATCCCCCAGGAAATCTCCACTCTGGATTTCCATGCAGGTGTGACAGCTGCTATAGCTGCTAGGGGTGGGCTTGCATCTGTCTCTGCAGCTGTGGCTGCCCGTGTGTCCTCCCCCACGTCTACTGTTGCCGCTGGGGTGTCTGTTTCATCCCCTGCTTCCTCCCTTGCCTCTCAGCTGCCTTTCCTTGGCCGAGGGTCGTCTCTGCATGGGATTGAGTGGGGGAGAGAGGTGAGGGATGGGAGGGATTGGAGAGGTGGGAGAGGAGGGAGGGAGGAGAGGGAGGGGAGGGAAGTGCGAGGAGGGAGGGAGGAGAGGGAAGAGAGGGAAGAGGGGGAGGAGAGGGAAGGGGAGGAGGAGTGGGTAGTGATGGAACAGAGGGAAGGGGAGGAAGGAGATGAGGGGAGGGTAGGAAAGGGCGAGCAACAGCAGCAGCCACGCCAAAAGCAGGAGGAGGGACGTGCAGAGGGATTTGAGATGCTCAGCTTGCAGCAAGGTGAATATCCACAGGTGCAGCAGCAGCAGCAGCAGACGCATCAAGGGGGGCTGGTAGGAGCTGAAGCAGGGTCAACAGGGGCTCCAGCAGCCATTGCCACGCCAGCACGCCTTGAAGCGCAAGCCTTGCCTACCTCCCTACCTCCACTCCCCCAAACCTCGCCTCGAGGCTTGGGCCGAAGCGCGGACAGGTTCGGTGCCGAGCCTCGGCCTCTGGTTAGCACAGCAACAGGTCGGGATGTTTCTCCCCGACCACCCAGGATCGAAACCAAGGGAAGTCAACTGTACCCAGGTGCTTTTCAAGGGAGTGCTTCTAAAGGATGTGCTTATAACGGGGATGCATTCAAAGGAGCTGCTTTTAAGGGGGATGCTTCCAAAGGAAGTGGTTTCAAAGGGGTGAGCTCGACCCCTGGTGGGCAGTGGTTTGCACGATTGATCAAGCCTAAGGCTTCTGTTGGAGGGAATAGGATCATAGGAAAGGGAGGAGACAGAGGAGGAGCAGACCGACCAGGAGCAGACCGACCAGGAGCAGACCGACCAGGAGCAGACCGACCAGGAGCAGAAATACCGGAACCTCGTGGGATGTCTCAGTGCCAACCCCTCAAAGCCTCTCCCAGTCCTCTCACCCTTCTTCAGTATCAGAAACACTCGTCAGCAAGGGATGATAGGGCTGATAGGGTTGATAAGACTGAGAAGGTGGACAGAGCTGAGGGGGCGGACAGGGGGGACAGACAGAGAGCAGAAGCTCCAGAGTCCCGTGCAGTCTCCCCCCGTCCTCTCTCCCTCCTTCAGTATCAGAGGCTCTCGGGCTCGGGAGCAAGGGCTGTAGCAGGAGGACCAGCTATAGCGGTACCTACGCCAGGAGCAACAATGGGGGCGGCTGTAGCAGGAAGAGCAGCTGCAGCAGGTGTGCCGGGAGCCACGGCGGGAGAAGCTGTTTTAGGTTCTGCTATGCTGGGATCGGCTGGAAATCCTAACTCTAATATGAGACCTGCTGCTTTGCTGGGAGCCGCTGGGAACCCTGACCTTAATCCGAGGCCCACGACAAACCCCAACTCGGCCTTACGGCTTTGGTCAACCCATATCCCTGACTTGGGCACCTTGCGAAACCCTAATCTGACTGCTCGGGCGGATTTGGGCAAGCAGGCAATTAGTGCTGGTGTTGGTGCAAGTGCAGTGATGGGTGGTGGCGGTGGCGGTGCTGCTGCTGCTGTCGCTGCTGGCGCTGCTGCTGCAGCTCCTGCTGCTGCTGTTTCTGCCACTTTTGCTCTGTCTGCTGTGGGTAGTGGTGCTGCTGCTGCCAGGGGGTTTGCTGGGACGAAAACCTTCCCTGCTGTTTCCATACCTGACGCAGCAGGTTCGGCTATTCACGCACCTGCAGGCTCGGACTCCCTTGCTGCTGCAAGTAGGTGTGTGGGAGGGCCAGTGCCTGGAGGTAAGGGAGGGAGGAAGGTGCGTGGAAGGTGGCAGGGGGAGAGGGGAGGAGAGGTCGCGAGGGAAGGGGATGAGGACGGGGAGAGGGGGGAAGAGAGGGAGGAAGAAAGAGGGGACGTCCAAGGTGGGTATATTCCATCAGTTGAGAAGGGTGCGAGGAAGGCGGAAGGGGAAGGAGAAAGAGGGGAGGCACAAGGGGGGTATGCTGCTTTAGCAGCGAGGGGTGAGAGGAAGGGGGAGGCGGCAGAAGCACAAAGAGAGACGCAGGTAGAGCAGCTGTTCAGGGCAAGGGACGGGCGGGCAGTTGAAGCAGCAGGAGAGGAGCAGGGTCGTCTTATGGGAAATGGAAAAGGCAGAGGGGACACGTGGAGGAGAGGGGGGTATGGGGCAGGAGTGCAGGAGGGAAGGCAGGAGGAGAGGCAGGAGGAGAGGAAGGAGGGGAGGCTGGATGGAGTGGTGGGCAGGGTGGGGCCTTGCATAGGGAGAACGGGATATGGAGTGCAGGAGAAAGGGCAGGAGGGACCGCAGGAGAGGAGGCAGGAGAAAGGGAAGGAGGTGTGGCAGGAGGGGAGGCAGGATGACAGGCTGGATGGCGTAGGGAGAATGGGTTACATGCGGTACGGAGTGGTTGATGCTGCAGCGATGGGAACAGAAGGGAGGTGTCTGGAAGAGCTGGGAGAGGGGGAAAGGATAGGCTTGAGAGGTGGAGTGGGGCAGCTGTTACCAGATATGCATATGGGGCAGGAACGGGTGGGGCATGATGAGAGTAGGGAAAGAGAAGGCGAGAGAGCAGATGGAGGGGGAAGAGGGGAACGAGGGGAAGGATTAGAGCACGGCAGAGGAAGGCAGGGGCGGGTGAGGCAAGAAGGGCCGAGTGGGTGTGATAAGAGGGATGTGGTACGAATCCTGTGTGATGAGAAGGAGGAGGGGCGAGGGAAGAGAGCGAGAGAAGAGAATGAATGTGACGACGGTGTTGCTCCAAGGCATGAGAGGGAGGAGGGGCGGGGGAAGAGGAGGGGGCACCGAGGGGAGAGAGACGGTGAGAGGCAGGAAAAGGACAGAGAGAGGAGGATAAGGGAGAAGGAGCGGGCGGCGGTAGGAGGTTTGTTGCCAGATGAGCAATCTGCCAAGCTGGCAGCGCTGCGGAGGTGGCGACAGGACGCCGCCAGGTGGCGCGAGGAGATTGGCTGGCAGGAGCGGAGCCTAGGGCTTGTTGGGAAGGGCATGGGTGTGAGGCAGTTGAATGGGGTGCGAGAGGGTGGAGAGGGAAGAGAGGATAGAGTGGATCGAGGAGGAGGGGGTGGAGAGGGGATAGAGGGAGGAGAGAGAGGAGAGGGAGTAAGAGAGGGGGATGATGGAGAAAGGGCGGAAGGAGAGGAGGGGAGAGAAGGAGCAGGAAGGGGTATGGATGGTGGAGGAGAGGAAGGCTCTGCTGCCACGAATACTGATGCTGCTGCCGGTACTGGTGATGCTGGTGCTGGTGATGCTGTTGCCGATGCTGCTGCTACGGCTACTGGTGCTCTTAGCAATGCTACTGCCCTCCCCCCAACTGCAACCAGTGCCAGGTGCATGCTCCTTCCCATCCTGGAAATCGGCTACCTGGCCCTGGGCCGGTCCCTCATTGGCTGGAGCCCCCGCTGTGATTTTTGCGGGCTGCCCGGCCACACCCTGTTGACTTGCGTTGAAACTCTTGACTCCGAAACCTCGGCTCTGATTGGCCGGCTGGGTGCCAAGGGGGAAGTGGACAGGCGGGTAGAAGGGAGGAAGCGGAAGAGGGAGGAGGAAAAGAGGAGGAGGAGGGGTGGGAAGAGGCGGAGAGGGGGAGCGGGAGACGGGGAGGAGGGGCGAGGGAAGAGGGGGGAGAAGGAGGAAAGAGTGGGCTTGGGTGGTGTGAAAGAAGGAGCAGGGGACACAGGGGAAGGTATTACAGCATTAGGTGGTATAGAATCCTTAGGAGGAGATATTATGGGGGAAAAGGATTTTGTAGGTGGGGTTGGGGACGGGTTAGGTAAGACAGAGGAGTTGGGAGTGGTTGCAAGTCTGGCTGGAATTGGTTCCTATCTTCCCTATGGAACCCCTCGACCTTCTTCTGTCCCGCTTGCACTTGCAAAGGCCCTGGGCTTAAAACGAGGACTGGGTGTACTGAACAGTAATAGCGAAAGCGCTGGGCGTATGTCGAGCTGTGGGGGGAACAGTAATGCGGTTATGGGAGCACTCTTTAGTGGAGCAGGTGTGGCTGGAGCAGGTGCTACTGAGATGGGGAACTGTAATGTGGGGGGTGGCATTTCAACTCCCCATGAGTTGGTGGGTGGTGGAGCAGGGATGGGGATGGGAAGAGGAGGAGGAAGGGGGTTCGAATTTCTAGCCCCTCATGACTTGGTGATTGGTGGAGCAGCAGTGGGGGAAGGAAGAGGAGGGGAGGATGTTGGGAAAGAGGGGGATAAGATGAGGGTAGTGGCTGATGAGTGTGGGGTGAAAGGTGGGGAGAGAGAGCAGGAAGGAGGGCGAAGCAGCATGAGGGGATTGGAGGACGGGGAGGGGAGCAAGGAGGGAGGTAGTGAGGAGGAGGAAGTGGGGGATGGGAAAGAGGTGGAGGAGGAGGAACAGGAAGGAGGGATGTGTGTGGGTGGGCGTATGGAGGAGCAGGAGGGTGGAGAGGAGAGAGTGAAGGGTGGGGATGAGCGTATGGAGGAGGAGGAAGGGGAGAAGGGAGGGGAGGAGGGAGAGGATGCGGGCAGGACTGATAACAGGACAGCAGGGGAGGATGCTGGGGAGGAAGGAGTCGGGGGAGAGGGAGCAGGTGGGTCAGAGGGGGACGAAGGAGGAGAGGATGAGAATAAGGGAATGGGAGACAAGGATAAGGATATGGAGTCAGAACAAGACAAAGACGTGCCGACCCCCGTCTGCCTGTGGTGTCTGGCAGAAGGTCATTGGGCGGCGGAGTGTACTGACCTGGCAAGAACCCGAGCGAAGCACGCGACCAGTAGCAGGGAGACAGCTGGCAGGGAGACATCAGGTACGGGCCGGGCCACCACAGGCACTGGCAGGGATACCACAGGTACGGGAAGAGACACGATTGGTACGGGAGCTGGCACGGGGGTTGGTACGGGGGTTGGTACGGGAATTGGTACGGGAGTTGGAGGAACTTCGTTGACGGGGCCTGGGATGGGTCGAGAGGTGTCGAACACAGTTACTCTGAGAGGCCTGGTGTTGTCAGGTAGGGAAAAGCTTGGCACTGGAGGGGAAGCAGTTGCACTAAACAGGGAAACACCAGGTGAAATCCCAGGGGTCCACGCAGTGGAAGGTAATGTTTCAGCAGCAGGGGATGGCACACTTGTCACAGGCAGGGAAGCAGCTGCATTGGGCAGAGAAACCCCAGGTGAAATCCCAGGTGAAATCCCAGGGGTCCACGCAGTGGAAGGTGATTTTGCAGCAGCAGGGGATGCCCGTCCGTTTGCTGGTCCTCTAATCTCCTGGACTCTTGATCCTCCCAAACCCCTGTATGGTAATCCTCTGAGCCTGCTTGACTCTTACACAGCAGCAGCGGCAGGAGCAGCAGCAGCAGAGGCAGCGGGGGGAGCAGGGCTAGAAGCAGCAGGGGGTGGAGTAGCGACGGCAGAAGCAGCTGCAGCAGAAGCAGAGGCTGGGGAAGGTACAGTAACGGGAAGGGACACGCGCAGGCTAGGAAATCGCCTTGGTGTAATTGATACAGCAGCAGAAGCAGGAGCAACGTTTACAGTAGGGGCATCCATAGACATACCATTTGCATCACACAGAACCGCTGGTCCTGCAGCAGAAGCAGGAGCAGGTTTAGTAGGGGCAGATATAGGAGTAGCCGTAGGGACAGCAAGAGAGTTAGCAGAGCGGATTGCGGCAGGCGATTTGCCAGTCTCTGTAGTGCACAGAGCCACAGGTGCAGTAGCAGACACAGGAGCAGCTGGAGCAGTAGCGACAGCAAGAGAGGCAGCACTGGGAGGTGTAGCAGGCGAGGCGTTAGCACCTCCTTGTGCTGTTGCGCACGGCTTACCTGCAAGCGCAGGTGCTGCAGCAGCTAACCTGGCGTGTTTTGAGACGTCTCAAAACGGCTTACCTGCAAGCACAGGTGCTGCAGCAGCAGCAGACCTGGCAAAACGGGAGGCTGGCAGAAGCACTGATGTGACCGGGAAACGGGAAGGTGAAGTTGGGGGCGCATGGAACGCTCCTGCTGTTTTCCCAGGCTGGTTTGATCTCTTCGACCCACATGGCACAGCACAGGAAGGCAGCGGCTTGCCTGCTGCCTTGCTCGCTTCCATCGAATCGCTGCGCCTCTCCCGAAGGGATATTGTCAAGTAAGTGTTCCCACCCGCTCCCTCTCGCTTGTGACATTGTAACGAGGTGATTTTTCACTCTGCTCATAAGGGGGTATCAGTCTGCCTCCTGCCTTGCTCGCTTCCATCGAATCGCTGCGCCTCTCCCGAAGGGATATTGTCAAGTGAGTTTACCGCCTTTCCCTTCTGCATCCTCCTTCACCTCCCTCTCAACCCTGTTCACACTACTCCACACCACACCAAACCACATCATACCGCACCGCACTGTGCGGCACCAACTCAGATGCCATTCAACATTTTGACCTCGTCTAGGGTCTGTCTATCTGTCCTCCCACTGCGCCTGCAGGATTCAAAGCCATCCAGGTGTCAGAGAACGAGTGGTTGGCTTCTTCCTCCGCCTCCGATTGGGAAAGAAAGAAGAGGATTTGGGCGGCACGGGTTACCGCATGGCCAAAATTACAGGTTTGTAACAAATGCCCTGGCACCTGCTAGCAACCATGCTATCCCTCCCCTCCCCCCCCCCCCTCCCCTCCTTCCTTTCCTCCTCTTTGTTGTCTTCTTCAATGCGTTCAATTGTTGTCATTTTTCTGTATCTTTCTGCACGCTTTATTATGTGTTGTGTTTTCGTCCAGGTGTTGTGCGCAAGCAAGCTGTTGAGTCTGTACCCTCATCGGCTGATTCGGGCGGAATGGCGCTCACTGTAGATATGGGTGACGGGGAATATACTGTAGACGGCCATTACGTCTCCAACAAACCATTTCTTGAGGTTAGTAAAATTATGTTTTTGGTTTGGCCTTGTTTTGAGCCTTCAGTCTCCTTCAATCGCTGTCAGCGTGTTTCTTATGTTATACTGTTATTTTTTATCATCTTGCCGTCTCTTTTGCGCTGAGTCTGTGATGCAGGTTGAGGTTGTTGAGTGGTGTAAAAAGATATGGCAGAAAGGTGGGGCCACGTTGCTTGCTCCTATTCTGTGTGGCAAGGATATCGAGGCCAAGATATGTGAGAGAAGAAGCTGGACCTGAAAGAGGGGCATTCCGGTAACAGCTTGAAGGTTGCGTTTTTCTGTGACATTCCAAGTGTTTTTTTCATTGCTTCTAGTTATTTAATCAAATGTTTGTTCTGCATAAAGCCCTGGGGCTATTCCACCTCAACTACACTCGTACCCTCAGAATCATAAATCTCGTTATAACTGCGGGAGCTGCACGTGTACCTTCCCAAGCAATGGCTGGCTCGGCGATCTCGAGGGGCCAAAATGGCTCGGCAATTTCGACGTGAGCGGGGAAGGCTGGCTCGGCAATCTCGGGGCCCGAAATTGTTGGAGCTTGATTTCTTGCTCCTCTCAGCGAATGGGAAGCGCTGTAGAAAGCAGCAGCCTTGGTTTGGGATCTTCTGAAGAACAAACTTGACTTCCATGCTCCAGCCTCCCATGCTCCAGTCTCCCATTTCACCAATCACCACCACCACCTGGGAAGTAGGTATTTTTTCACCCACATTCACACCACACTGGCACACAATTCTGTGTTGCTGGTGGGGTAGTGCTGGTGGTGCTGGTGGCGCTGGTGGCTCTGGTTCTGCTAGTGGTGGTCCTGCTTGTAGCTGCAGCGATCTGCTACCTTTCCTGATCAGCCCGTGCATTACCTCTTCTCCTGATCTCTCTATCATTCTCTCATGGAATCGTATCGTGAAGTCAGTACTTTTTGAGGAGTTCATGCCTCAAGGCGAAGTATTGTCCTGTGCCACAGCCGTCACAGCTCATTCGCTGCGAAACAGCTCGGCAGTTAGACTGTTAGGGCGTTCCGCTCGGCAACTTGGAGGCTTGCTTGGTCCTCTAGTTTAAACTCTAGCCAACACGCCTTTATCAGGCCCCGCTTCTTTCGCGTAAGACTCGGCAGATCGCCGGTTGGTAACGAGGCACAAGAAATAGTCAGAACTGGTCTGTGCGACTCGGTTATGGCGTTCGTGTTTAGCCTTCGCGTACGACGCAATGCGAATGGCCTCCGGTAGGGCCTTTTTTTTTTAGGAATGCGGATGATCGCAGCGCAGATCGCGAGCGGATCTTTTTAGGCAAATTACCCTGAATTTCTCTGTCGAAAATAAAGCGACTCCCGAGTGAAATCAAAAGTTGTCCCCATTTTATCGTGGGGAATACGTGCGAGAATTGAAGAGCTTGAATTACCCTAAATTCCCCGTGCACCGTCTAGTTTCTTCCTGATTTCGTGAGCATTCGAGCACTATCGAGCTTGCACTTTGATAGCCGGATTTGAAATTTCCTGCCTCCGTTACGCGAAATTCGCCCCGTCTAGAGTAGCATTCGATTCGAACCCTCATCTGATTGTGAAGGTAATCTACACTCATAATGAGGCTACATCCTAGTAAAGGCGGAGCCGCCTCCTTAAGAGTAGGCGCCACTCGCGCCGTCTTATCATCTCGCGTGCCCGTCCCTAAGAACCTCCGGCCGAAACCCCCTCCGCTAGTCGCGCTCTTCACCTCCCCTGCGTTCTTCAGGCTCCTAGTGGTCCTTCTAGCTCTCTCTTTCATCACTTTGACTGGTCTGTCTTTTGTCGAAATCGAGGAGGACACTGTCGAGAAAGCGATCACGCGACAGCTGATGAGCGCAGATGAAGACGATAAGGGCGGCAAGGGATCGAGCAACGACTTAGGCGTGCACCTCGCGAGAGACGAGGAGGAATTACCGGAGCAGCTGAAGCAGCGGTCGCGCCAGTCCGACGGCGGGGAAACAGCGGAAGCGGGGGTAGCGGGGGGAGCGGGGGGCGGAGAGGGGGAGGAGGAGTCCGGCGGGGATTCCGGCGATCAGAGCGACTCGCTGCACGTGCACGTGCATCTGATCGCGTCGTGCGATGTGGAGTCGGTGGAAGAGAGTCTTGACATGCTGCAGCGTAAAGTTCTCTGGGACGAGCATTACGTGCCGCTCACTGTCCTGCTGGACTGCCAGTAAGTGAAACATACAAGGAATAGTACACTTTTAACATTTAATATGAAATAGTAAATACCAGTACAGTAGCGTCTTATGATGTGGAGTCGGTGGAAGAGAGTTTGGATATGCTGCAGAGTAAAGTGCTCTGGGATGAGCATTACGTCCCGCTCACCGTTCTGCTGGACTGCCAGTGAGTGAAGCATACACGAAATGGTACACTTTTAACCATTTTCAATACGAAATTACTAAGTGGTGGCTTATGATGTGGAGTCGGTGAAGAGAGTTTGGACATGCTGCAGAGTAAAGTGCTCTGGGATGAGCATTACGTTCCGCTGACTGTTCTGCTGGACTGCCAGTGAGTGAAACAAACACCTGTTGTCTATGTTTCAAGATTGAATGGGAATCATATGTAACAAGTACAGTAGTGTCACACAAGATGTGGAGTCGGTGGAAGAGAGTTTGGGCATGCTGCAGAGTAAAGAGCTCTGGGACGAGCATTACGCGACGCTCACTGTCCTGCTGGACTGCCAGTGAGTAAAACATACACGAAATGGTACACTTACAATTTGCAATCACAAAGCCATAACGCCCCTCACTCTGTCCCTCTGTAGCCGAACCACTCAAATCCATACCGTACCCCTCAAAACCCCTCCCACTCCCCTCGCAGTGACCCCAAATACGAGTCAGCCATAATGCTCGCCACTCGCCGCGTGCAGTGGCGATTTGGGCCCTACACCGTGCGATCCAACGCCCCTACCATTGAAACTGCCACTGCCAGAACCGCTGCTGCTGCCGGGCTGAGGGGCGGGAAAGGCGCCGCTGCTGGTGGCGCTGGTGCTGCTGGTGCTGGTGGTGGTGGTGGTGGTGGTGATGGGGAGGAGAGTGAATGGGCTGTTGTGTTTCCAAGAGACAAAGTCAAGGCAGCTATCTTTCAGAGGAGGAGGCTGCTCGGGTGTAATGTCACTGCAGACAGGGGAAGTGGTTGTGACAGAGGTGATTTGGACGAGGAACCTGTGGATGGATGGTTTGGGTTTAACAAAACGGGGACTGGGTTTAACGAAAGGGCGGACTGGGAAGAGGGGTTATGGGCGCCTGGGGAGTTTCCACAGGGCAGGGGAGATGCTCTCTTGGGGAATAGCCGAGAAGGGGATGTGGTTTCGGGTTTAGATGTGGGTTCGGGTGTGGGCGGAGGAAGGCACCTATTGGGAAAAGCAGTTGTTGTGGCAAAGAAAGGGGCAGCGGTTTCCGGTAAAGGAGCTGCGGTGAAGGGTGGACAGGCGCAGGGCAAGGGTAAGGGTGCAGCAGCAAAGGCTGGTTCAGCCGCAGGCGCAGCGGCTGGTTCTAAACTAGGAGGTAAAGCCGGGAATGCAGCAGCAGCTGCTGCTGCTGCTGCTGCTGCTGCAACAGGCGCCAAAGCAGGAGCAGGAGCCAAGGCAGGCAGCGGCAAAGCTAAACCGGGAACTGTTACCAAGCCGGCCAAAACAGCGGCTGCTGCTGCTGCTGCTGCTGCTAAGACCACCAGCGCTACAGCCGCCGCTACATCTACTACAGCCGGCGCTGCACGGGGCGGCAGCAGCGAGCTGGCGGTGCTGACCTTCCTGGACGCGTGGCGGCCGAAATCCGCCCTGGGGATCGCGTTCTACCTGCGGGATTCGGCGCGCGTGTCGCCCTTCTTCTACCGCTTCCTGGTTGACTCCGTTGAGATGCTGGCGGGGGCCGCTCCCCCTAGTGACGATGGGGGGGACAGTGTTGGCGAGCTGTATTCCAGCCCGCCGTTCTCAACGCTGTTCGGGATCAATATACTGGACCCGGGCACCACACCAGGTGAGCCTTCAATCCCAATCCCACCCATCCACAAATCCGCCCATCCACCCACTCTCTCTCTCTCTCTCTCTCTCTCTCTCTCTCTCTCTCTCTCTCTCTCTCTCTCTCTCTCTCTCTCTCTCTCTCTCTCTCTCACACACACACACACACACACACACACACACACACACACTAATATCTCCTCCCTCGAACCACTCCATCCCTTCTATCCTCCCCAGTGCCCCAGCAGCTCCCTCCCGCATGGCACCTGCACTGCACCATTCACTGACCGCCGACTGTCAGTTCCTCCTCCCAACCCAACCCCCTGTGCTCCTCTCTCCTTTCCATCCTCCCCCTACGTGCTCCCCTACCCATCTTAACTATTCCCCCCATCAGTGCCCCAGCAGCTCTCTCCCGCATGGCACCTGCACCAGTCGCTAACAGTCGACTGCCAGTTTGTCTTCCCAACCCCTTGGGAGGAAATACTCCTCTGGCGCCGCTCCTTCCCCAACACCTCCTTCTCCCTCTCCCTGCCTTCTTCCCTCCCTCTCTCCCTCATCCTTCCCAGTGCCCCAGCAGCCCCCTCCCTCATGGCACCTGCACCAGGCTTTGACCGTTGACTGTCAGTTCGTCTTCCCAACGCCCTGGGAGGAAATACTCCTCTGGCGCCGCTCCTTCCCCAACACCTCCTTCACCCTCTCCTCCACCGTTTCCCACCTCAAAGACGCCGCCTTTGCCATCTCAGCTGTAGCGGCTTCCCGTGACGGTTCTGTGAATCTTCAGGGGAAGTTTCAGGGCCGGGGGAGGGCGGATCTGGGGACGGATTACTTCACCAGGACGTGCCAGGCGGATCCGGTGCAGCAAATACACTCGTTACTCGATAGCCACGGGCGGTTTAATCTGCTCGCACCGGACATTAACGGGAGTAGCATGTGCGTGTCGCTCGCACCAATCAGGAAGCAGGAGGAGCGGGCGAAAGGGTTAGTAGCAGCCGCGGCCAAAGCGAAACGGAAACTGAACCCGAAAGAGGCTGCAGAGGTAGCAAAGGCGAAGAAAGCCAAGGAGGTGTTGCTTGCGAGACTGTTTGATGATCCTCAGTATGCGCTAGGAAAGGAGAGCCCCCGGGTTGTTAGAGCGCTGGAGAAAAGCGCAGTAAGTGCCGACGCTTTGCTAAGAACGCCCCGAACGGACATGTGCGGGCGGCCGGTGCGAAGGGGACTGTACGCTCAAGATGTGAAAGGGCTCCGGAAAATGCTGTCGGTGATTCAGACGAATAACACTGTCGTTGCCGTGATGACAAGCGTAGGGTTTGCAGATATGCTCACCAACTGGCTGTGTTATGTGCGAGAGCTAGGGTTTACGAATTTCTTTATTATTACCACGTCGGCGAAACAGGCATTAGATTTGTTCGCCAAAGGGCACGCGGTGTTCCTCCTTCGGCCGTCATTCATTCACCTCAACTCCTCCCTCCCCGGCACCCTCTCCTCATCTTCCTCTGCTGCTGCTGCTGCTGAAGCGGCTCACTTGAGAGCAGCGGCGTATCTGCAGAGTGCGGGAGGGGACGGGCAGCAGCAGGGGTCGCAGCAGGAGCAGCGTGGGGGGGGGAAGGTGGGACGCACGTTGCTAGGGTTGGAGGGGGCAAGGGCAGAAGGGGACGGTTTGGTGGTGACTTTTGAGCCAACTCAAAAGTCACCTCGTTACAATGGCACGCGCACGTTGCTGGGGTTGGAGGGGGCAAGGGCAGAAGGGGACGGTTTGTTGGGTGACTGGATGGAAGGCAGACATGGGAACAGACTGCTTATGAGTGCTGGTGGCAGCGGTGGAGATGGGTTTGGAGGGGTTGGAGGGGTTGGGGATGGAGGGGGTGGGGATGGAGGAGGAGGGCAGGGGGGGAGGAGGAAGGCCAAGTGGGGGTTCAGGCTGGTGGCAGCGGCTAAGGCGATGAAACGGGCGGCAAGGCGGGTGGCGACTGCATCTGGTCTGAGGCGCACTCCAAACATCACAGTGCCGTTCTCTATGGAATACGGGGGGATCGGATACAAGCAGGTAGGTTGACAGGAAGGCCAAGTGGGGGTTCAGGCTGGTGGCAGCGGCGAAGGCAATGAAACGGGCGGCACGGCGGGCGGCGACTGCGTCTGGTCTGAGACGCACCCCCAACATCACTGTGCCGTTCTCCATGGAATATGGGGGGATCGGGTACAAGCAGGTAGGGATAGATGAAGGCATAAGCTGGTAGGTTGTTAGAAGTGGGGGTGCTTGTATGGAAGGTTGGGAGGATCTGTCCGGACCAAGATGCACCCCCAACATCACTGTTCCCTTCTCCATGAAATATGGGGGGATGGGGTACAAGGAGGTAGGGAGCGATGAGAGCAGGTAGGGAGGGATGAGAGCAGGTAGGGAGGGATGAGAGCAGGTAGGGAGGGATGAGAGCAGGTAGGGAGGGATGAGAGCAGGTAGGGAGGGATGAGAGCAGGTAGGGAGCGATGAGAGCAGGTAGGGAGGGATGAGAGCAGGTAGGGAGCGATGAGAGCAGGTAGGGAGGGATGAGAGCAGGTAGGGAGCGATGAGAGCAGGTAGGGAGGGATGAGAGCAGGTAGGGAGGGATGAGAGCAGGTAAAGATGGCCGTGCCCCTCATTCCCTCTCTCCCCCTGATCGCCCCTCAATTCATCCCCTCCCCCTTCCCCCCGCCTCGCCCCGCCACCTCTGCAGCGCTGTTCAAGCGCACGCGATTGGTGGGCCCGATTCTCAAGATGGGGTACAATGTGCCCTTGCTTCTAACATCACTGTGTCTCCCCTTCATCTCTCCCCATCCCTCTCCACCCCTCCCCATCCCTTCCCCACCTCTCCCCTCCTCCTACCACTTTTCCTTCCACCACCTCTACAGCTGCTGCTCAAGCGCACGCGATTGGTTGGCTCAATTCTCAAGATGGGGTACAATGTGCGGCTTGCATTTCAACATCAATGTTTCTCCCCTTACATCTCTCCCCACCCCTTCCCCCCCTTCCCCCTTTCCCTCCCCTTCCCCTTTCTCTCCCCCCCCCCCCCCCCTTTGCCACCTCTGCAGCTTCTGCTCAAGCGCACGCGATTGGTGGGCTCGATTCTCAAGATGGGGTACAATGTGTTGCTTGCTGACGTGGACGCCGTGTGGCTTTCCGATCCGTTCGTCCACATGGGCAACAAATCCGTGGACATTTACGGGCAGGTGCGAGGATGTTTACAGGCAGGTGAGGTGACATTTACAGGCAGGTGGGATGATATAGACGGGCAGGTGGGTCGGTGGGCAATGGGCAGTGGGCAGGTGAGGCAGGGGGGAGGTGAGGCAGGGGGAGGTGAGGCAGGGGGAGGTGAGGCAGGGGGAGGTGAGGCAGGGGGAGGTGAGGCAGGGGGAGGTGAGGCGGTGGGGAAAACGGGGGTGGTTGCTTGCTTGTGCCACAGTCAAGGGTGGACGCAGTGTGGCTTTCGGATCCGTTCGTCAACATGGACAACAAATCCGCCGATATTTCCGGGCAGGTGAGATGCCATTCACGGGCAAGTAAAATGACATATATCGCAAGTGAGGGGCGGTGGCCTGTGGGCAACGGGTTGTGCGGCAGGCAGGTTCCTTTTCCTGTGGTAAACCCCCCAAATGTGGTAACCCTATTCTCGCATGGCGTTTCTCTTCCTTGCTTGACTTCTCGTGTGGTAACCCTAAAGGACCATGTTAGACGGCTGTACATATATGCACATCTAGGCAACTATAACCGTCTGTATATGTGTTTCCTCCCTCTTTGCTCTCCCTATGCTTCCACCACCTCTCAGCTTGAGCCTTCTGGTCAGCTGTGCGGGGGTTTCCTCTTCCTGCGCTCCACACCCCGTGTGGTAACCCTATGGGACCAACCAACATGCCCTCCCTATTTCCTCTCTCCCACCTCTTTGATCTCCCCCCTTCCCTCCCCACCTCTCAGTTGGAGCCTTCTGGTCAGCTGTGCGGGGGTTTCCTCTTCCTGCGCTCCACGCCGCGTGTGGTAACCCTATGGGACCAGGTTACAGGCCTGTACACGCGCACGTTCAACCGCATGGCAAAGGAGGCTCTGTACAAGAAGCCAGAGGAGATGGGCGCGTGGCTCAAGGTGCGTTGTAACCGTGTGGTAACCAATGGTAACCCTCTGGTAACCACCGCACGTTCAACCGCATGGCCAAGGAGGCGCTTTACAAGAAACCAGAGGAGATGGGGGCGTGGCTCAAGGTGAGATGTAACCCTATGTAGTGTGGTAACCGCATGGCCAAGGAGGCACTGTACAAGAAGCCCGAGGAGATGGGGGCATGGCTCAAGGTGAGTTGCAACCGTGTGGTAACCACACCAGAACCCTACATAGTAGTGTAGTGATATCCCTATGGGACCAGGTTACATTGCTGTACACGCGCACGTTCAACTGCATGGCCGAGGCACTGTGCAAGAAACCCAAGGAGATGGGGGCCTGGCTCAAGGTGAGATGAAACCGTGTGGTAACTGTATGGTAGCCCTAATTACTGTGGTAACCACGTGGTAACCCTACCTCTAACCGCATGGCCAAGGAGGCACTGTGCAAGAAACCCGAGGAGATCGGGGCATGGCTCAAGGAGAGTTGTAACTGTACGGTAACCATGTGGTAACCCTGCGTACTGTGGTAACTGCATGGGTGAGGAAGCACTGTACATGAAACCCAAGAGATGGGTGTGGCTCAAGGTGAGTTGTAACCCTTTGTGGTAACCCTACATCCACCTTCTGAACAGTGGTAACTCTTAGGTAGACTTGTGGTATTTCTCTGAGGATTTGCCTCGCTCCAGTCTATTCCTGTGCCATATTTTGGGCGGCTCAACAACACCGTTCCCCCTCTCTCCCCTTCCCGAACCTCATCCCCACCACCCCCCTTCTCCCTCCCTCCCACCACAGCAGTTCGAGCATCTGCACGAGCAGCGGTATTTGAACCAGCTGCTGGGGAAGTGGTGGAACAAGGTGCAGGTGCGAGGGCTGGATATGCTCAAGTTCCCCAACAGCACCTCAACAATACATCCCCTGTTTCCCCAATATTTGCTCCCCGCCCCCTCAGCAATTCGAGCATTTGCACGAGCAGCGGTATCTGAACCAGCTGCTGGGGAAGCGGAGGAACAAGGTGCAGGTGCGAGGGCTGGACGTGCTAAAGTTTCCCAACGGGAAGGAGTTTTTTGTGCAGCGCGCGCCGCAGCAAGCAGAGGTGGCGCCTGTGGTGATTCACAACAACTACATCAAGGGGAAGAAGGTGCATGTGACTGTGGGGCATGTGACTGTGGGGCATGTGACTGTGGCGCATGCGAGCGTGACTGGCGCTGTATGTGTCCGGTGAGTAAAGAGCGAACGTGGGTTATGGTGTGCCAGTTTGGATGTTTGGATGACTTTTTGCAATCATGCAGACTTGGCTGCTCCATCACGTGCAAATTTATTTACTTACCAGCACTTGTATCCTTGCTGCACTTCTTGTGGAATTTTGCAGGCCAAGATTCAACGTTTTAAAGAGTTCGGCTTATGGCGAGCTGATCCAAGTGGAACCTCTTGCCTTTGCCTCTCGTGCCCATCGCAAGCTACCACCACACAAAAAGGAGCCCTGGGTAGACATTAAGAGTGTTGGGATCCTTGTAGTGATATTGCACCAGAGGTGATTTGACATAGGTCAGATTTCTACTCTGTTAGAAAATAGCCTTCGGTGTTATGCATCTCATTGATGTTCACAGGATGAATATTGCTAGTATATAGTACATCAAATTTGTGGCGAGAGTACCGGAACCAATCATATGATTCCTAAAGAATGTGGGGCAGATAGGTTGGCTTTTCTTATCGCTGAGGCTGGTCGCCGCTGCCATCGTACGTAGCCTGCGCCAATGGAATGGCTCGGACCGGGTCGCAAGTGCGATGTGACTGCTGTGTCGGCAGGCAAGCAGCCAATCAGCTCGTAAGATGCTGGCTGTACGACGTGACCCTTGCTTCGGGCAGCCTGCAGCCAATCATTTCGCTTTACGCTATCGCCCGCTGCTGCTGACCACATATCACCCTTTCAGCTTGTGCCAGATTCCTCATCCATTCACGCCATCTCCCGCCTCCTCGATTTCAGACTGTCGCCGCCAACTCATTGGGGAGGCGAACGGAAGTGAAAAACAGCAGTCACGCACTCGTCGTCGCCTGTAAATGTCGCCCACAGATATGCAGGCAGGAGTCCGAAAGAAAGCGTCGCACGATGATTTGTTTGCGTTCGAAAGAAAGAAGTCGCCTGGGTCGGTCGCACCTCTGTGGTGGATGCACTGCACCTCGCTGCTTTCTCGGAATTTGTCGTCACACGTTCCAAAACTGTCGCGCACCTGAAACCTCTTCTCAAAGCTCGTTCTCGGGCAGGCAACTTACGATTACGAGACACCAATCAGATCGCAGCTTTGTCCTGAAATCCCAACACTACCGCCACTTAGGACGTGGGCCCAATCGACTTTGATCGGCGCGATTAGAGGCGATCAAAACTTCGAGGAAGGCGGGAAGCAGATTTCAGGCAATCGGGGGCAATCAGCTGATCGCGATCAGCTGATCGCGCCAACTCAATCAACCGCCTCAAACAGCCCGATCAGACCCGATCAGACACAATCAGCCCCAATCACTTGATTGCATATGATCGGCGATCTGGACGATGTACGCGAAATGTAACATGCCTCGCCATGAGGTCTTGAAAATTCTTGCGAATACGCCCAGATCGGCGAGAACTGTATGCCATAGCCATCGGCGAGGTTCGTCCGTCTCGCCAAAGTTGGGATGCAACTACCAGGTAATGGGCCAACAGTTTTCATGCAAGAGCGCGAAACATTCGAGGAAAATCCTCTCTGATCGGGCAGTGCGAGAAATACGATCACAAGCAATCCGATCCGACCCAGAACGCTCCGATCAGAGCCGATCAAAGGCAATCAATAACTTGTAGGAAGGCAGGAAGCCGGTTTCAGGCAATCAGGGGCAATCAGCTGATCGCAATCAGCTGATCGCTCCCAGCTCGATCAACCGCCTCCAACAATCCGATCAATCGCGATCAGACACAAGCAGTCCCGATCACTTGATTGCATGTGATCGGGGGACTGGACGACGTTCGCGAATCGTTACACAATCGACTAGAGGTCTCGAGAATATTTCGCTCTTGCCTACGGAATGGCGAGAACAGTATGCGAAGGTTCTAGACTGACATTGTCTGCAACACGATTTTCACGACGTTACCATGATAGTTGCGTTCGCCAGTCTCGCCAAAAATGGAAAGAAAAACCAGGTAATTGTGTCACACTATCATACAGGCTCGTAGAGTTTTCGAGGAATATCAGCTTTGATCGAGCGGCGCGGGAAAAGCGATCACAAGCAATTCGAACCAATCCAGCCCGATTCAATCCGATCCGATCAAAGTCGATTGGGCCCGCGTCCTTACTTTTCTACCTCCTTCTGGCAAGCCTCAATGGAAGCCTGCTTTTTGCCTGCCTAAACTCCCACCTTTGTCAGGTTCGGTTCCCCGTTCCCAACTTCTCTCAGCGCACCCCTTACAAATGACACTATCTGCAACGACACAATCGCTCTGCACATTTCCCTTTTTCCCCCCACCTCCACTTCTCCAACCTGGTGCTTTGTATGGCGGGCTGCCCGGTCGCGTGCCGTCAGATTTTGATGCTCCAGTGACTGACAGAACAAATCTTGTTTCAAAGAATCCGTGTTTCAGAACCCTGATGACCAACCAAACATGAACCATGTCACGACGACATGCCCTGACAATGCAGCAAAGGACGCACCGCCGCCGCCCTTGTCTTCCCTCCTTCCAGCCAGCCCTAGTTCCACGTCTCCCCTCTCCTCCTCTTGTCTCGTCTCTTCCTACAGTATCCACTCCACACCACACTTCCCTCCAGGACTGTCTCGGGACTAACACAACACTCGATTCAGAACACTCGAAACCAGACTGGATAAGAAGTCCCAGAGCAATTTTTAGGGCAGGAGCAACCGAAACTATAACTCTTGGATTCCATAGTTCTTCCCACCCCTCCCCACCCTCCCTCCCCTTTCAAGGCTCTCTTTTCCTGCTCTCCCAGATGCTATGCTTGAAGCTGCACACGCACCCATTCATGGTCCGTTCTCCCAACCTCCGACCCTTGTCAGCCACCGCATGGAGTCCCCATCTCATCACATCCTGAAAGCTCCATCTCACAACACTCTCTGACATGTTGGTTCAAGTATCTGTATGAGGAAGGAACCCTAAAAGGGTCACGCTGCGTCGGACACTGCAAGAATACACGTTTATGAAATCCGAATTTTTTTGTTATTACGGTCATTGTTGTTGCGTTTTTTTCTCGTAGAGATGAAGTATCCGTCGCTCGTTGGTGCTGCTACCAGCACCAGTTGCCAGAATACGCGAGTGGAAATTCCTTGACAGCACAACTGTTGAGAAAATACGCGACAGCAAAATTGTTGATGAAGGTCGCTATCGGTTTGGAACGAGAATCAATACGGCCTGACTATCGTACCATTTACGCCTCTCAAACGGTCCGATCCTTTCTCTTCCTCGGATAACTCATTGCCGATAGCAACTGCCAGAGCGCTTTAGATTGCGAATTCATCCGATCTATTAAATCTGAACCTTATCTGATTCGCCGTCGCGTGGCGATGGGTCCTCGCACGACGACCAGCGCGATGTGCGGGCTCGGCGTTCGCATGAGCCCCAAGGCAACGATTTTCAGCACGAGCGAGGCGGCGTGCGACGTGTACGATGCGGGCGACGACGCCGGCGAGTGCACGTGGGCGTCGCTGCCGCCCGAGCTGCTGCGCGACGTGATCGCACGCGTGGAGGCGAGCGACAGCTCGTGGCCCGGCCGGCGCAGCGTCGTTGCGTGCGCGGGTGTCTGCCGCTCTTGGCGGGAGCTTACTCGGTACGTACCACCTTGTAGCGACTCGCTACGTGATACCTTTGTAATGACTTTGTACCACATGCGTTGGTGTCATATATTTTTTTCAATTTAACGAAAGCCAGCCACGGTCGGCGGGGAGCTGACACTGTACGCTTTGCTTTTATCAGAAGCGTCTCGACGATGCGGCAAGAAATCATTAGATTTCACTTAAGGAGGGCGCTCTCGAGATTCGCCGTGCTCTACCACTGTACGCTTTGTTCTCTGCGCACCTCCCCTCTCTGCTCTCCTCTCTCGCCCCGCTCCGTCTGTTCCCCTCGTTTCCCCGTCCCCAAACTCCCCTCCGCCCCATCCCGCAGCCCCCCCCACGCGCAGGGAGCTGCGGCAATCGCAGGGGTCATACGAGCCGTCGGGGCAAATAACGATCTCCGACGAGCTGAGGAAGCCCCGGCCGGGGCCGGCACGTTCGCGCATCCACCATCCCCACTTTCTCCCATCCCCTCTTTCCCGCTTCCCCATCTCCCCCCTTCCTCCCCTTCCGCGCATCCCGCCCTTCCCCCGATCCCACCTTCCGCCCATTTCTGCCCGAGACAGCGAGCTGCTGCAATCCCAGGGCTCGTACGAGTCGTCTGGGCAAATAACCTTTCCCGACGAGTTAAGAACGCCAGGGCCGCGCGACCGCTGCGTGGAGTGCTTCATTCGCCGCTCGCGCAAGACCGGCACGTTCACGCTGTTTCTGGGCGTGCCGCCGAATTCGACGGAGAACGGCAAGTTCCTGCTCGCGGCGCGCAAGTGCGGCTGGCGGCCGTCAAGGTAAGCGGACGGCCGGCTATTTAAAACAAATCTTTTGACCCTAAACCGGAGTTGGTGTTTGTGCTTGTAGCCCTATTCTGCCCGTTTTACAAACCCTTGTTTCTGCTGGTTACGCTAATGCCTTCGTTCGCTCCAAATCGCACACCTGAGTTTGTGTCTCGCAAATTCACGTTTGCATGGAAAAAGTGTTTGTGCTGGTCACCCTATTGTATCCGTTTCGCTCTGTTTCGCAAAACTTTCGAAATCATTCCAGCATGGAGTACGTGGTCTCCCTGGATCCGAAAGACTTTTCGCGCGGCGGAAGTTCGTTCGTCGGTCGCCTGCGAGCGAATTTCCTCAGCACGCGATTCGCCGTCTTTGAATCGTCGCACGAGGTGAGCGTTGCAAATATCCCTTTTTGTAACAGAGCAAGTTCTCGGCGGATCGTTCGCAGCTACCTTAGAGCCCAACACGCACAGGTGAGAAGTTCGTCGCGAATTGCATTGGCGAAAGATTGAGCACCCAGAAACGTAGTAACCAGTTCCAGCTGAATAATGCCTTTTTTTCTCTCGTCATTCTTTGTTTGCGCTGATCCCCCCGTTCCGTCTCCTCATCCTCCCTTTCCCCCTTCCCCACCCCACCCCCACGCGTTTCCCGCGCCTTCCTCCGCGCAGCCCGCATTTTCTCTCGGCGCGGCGTCGCTGGCGCACGGCGGAAGCAGCAGCAGCAGCAGCCGCAAGGTGCATCCCCGCGGAGCCGCTTTTTCCGCCAACGGTTACCACCACTGTAACCACTGTAGCACTCGGTGTGGTAACCACCATTGTGGTTACAACTGTGGCAGCAGCAGCGCGGGCAGCAGCGGGGCCGGCACCCCTGTCGCGTGTAACGGTAACTTGGGCAGCTTTAACGGTTCCGGCTGTAGCGGCGCCAGCTGTAGCAGGGGTAGCGACGGGATAGGATTACTAGGTGCAGGTATTACCAGCAGCAGTGGCAGCGGCAGCGGAATTGGTGGTCGGGGCGATTGTAACGGCGCAAATGACGCGGACACGGCCACGTCAGCAGCGGTATCGTCAAGCCTCCGCGCACATTCCCCGTCCCTCTCAGCTTCCCCCTCCGCCTCCGCCCGCGCGCTAACCGCCTGCCTCTCCCGCTCCGCCAACAACCTCGAGGGCTTCCGCTCCCCGCGCCTCCCTTCCGCCTCCGCGCCCCCTTCCGCTGCGCCTTCCCCTTGCCCCGCCGTCTCCGACTTTGCCTCCCCCCAATTCAAACCCAGCTGCATCGGCAGCCCCTTCCCCGGAAGCAGCGCGCACAGCTGCGGGGGAGGCGCAGGTGGGGGAAGCAGCGGGGGGATTGGCGGGGGAAGCGGCGGGGGGAGCGGGGGAAGCGGGGGGAGTAGCGGGCCGGTGGTGTCTGTAGCATATGCGCTGAACGTGCTGGGGGTGCGCGGACCTAGGCGCATTCTCTGCACTCTTCACCAGGTCCCCGCGGGCGCGGCGGTCACTGGCGGAGGGGGAAGCGGGGCGGCAGGCGCGGGGCGAGGCGCGGGAGGGAAGGCGGGGAGAGGAACGGGGGAGGAAGCGGGGGGGGGAAGGGGGGAGGGGAGGTCGTTGGCAAGGGGGACAAGTGGGGGGAGTGGGCGGGGATGGGGGGACGCTTCCGCGGTAGCGGAGGCAGCGGGGGAGGGGGCCAGGCGGGCAGCTGCAGCGGCAGCTGATGTTGCTGGCACCGCCGCCGCTGCTTTAGGCTTAGATCCCGTTATAGGCACGTCCGATATAGGCACGTTACGAAGCCCGCGTCCTGCCACCCTTCCTCCCGTTACAACCTCTGATAGAAGCTCCGTTTCAACTCCTCCCGTTACAGTTCCCCCTAGCACCCCTCCCCCTGCTACCCCTTCCCCCGCAACTGCTGCCGTCCTAGCCGCTGGTGCTGCCGCTGCTGCCGCCACCTCCCCGCTCCTCTCCTCCCTCTTCCATTCCAACCGCTATAGTCACACTCGCTACAGTAACCACTCGTGCGATCTCCCAGAGGAACAAAAATCGGATGAGCAAGCACCTGGCCAATCCCAGCCTCCCACGTTTACCTCCTCTTTCACCCCTTCCCCGCTTCCCCGCCCCTCCTGGCCCTCATCCCCCGCTTCTTCCCCCTCCGCCGCCCACCCTGCTGGCGCAACCTCCGCCCCGCCCCACTTCCCCGCCTCTTCCGCCCTCCACTCCCCCGCTTCCCCCCCTGACGTGCTAATTGCCCCCACAGGCTCCTCCGCTTCTCCCTCCCCTTCCGCTTCCGCCTCAGCCGCTCCCCCCTGCCCCGCTTCCGCCTTCCCCCCTTGCTCGAAGCTTCCCTCTTCCGCGCTGTCTTCCGCCTCCCCCGCCGCCCGTTCTTGCGCATACAGGCTCAGTGGGGGGAAGGGGGAGGCGGGGGGGATTGTGAGTGAGTTTGAGTGGGGAGGGGGGGAGAGAGAGGAGGTGACTGTAGAAGAAGTGACTGAAGGGAGAGTGGGAGGGCGGGAGGAAGAGGGGAAGGGAGAGAGAGGGGAGGGGAAGAGAGTGGAGAGAGGGGAGGTAGAGAGGGAGGAGGGGACGGGAGAGGAGAGGAGGAAGAACGAGATTGAGGAGAGGCAAGAGAAGGAGGAGAGGGAGGAGGAGGAGAGATTGCTGGTGAGGCTCGCAGGGAGTGGAGAAGAGGAGGGGGAGGGCGAGAAGCAAGAATGCACAGCAGCGGAGGAAGCAAGGGAAGCGAGGGAAGCAAGGGAAGCGAGGGAGGCAAGGTCTCCACCCACAATCTGCACAAGAGAGCCCTTGGTCTCGTTCCCAGAGAGTGGGGAAGAGATGAGCGCAGGAAACGGAGTGGTGGGGCGCAGTGGAAAGGAGAGTGATGAGCAGCAGAGCGGTCGGGAAGAAGGAAGTCAAGCAGAGGGCAGGTGGGAGAAGAGGAATCAAGAGGAAAGCAGTCCAGAGGACGGGAGTTTAGAGGAGGGGAATCGGCAGGAGGGGTGTGGGCATTGGCGGACAGACGGTGCGTGTGAGCAGCAGGAGAGCAGTGGAGAGAGGAGGAGTGAGCAGGCGGGCCAGCAGCAGGGCTGGTTGCAAGGCGGAGGTTTCCAGGAAAGCAGCAGCGAAGACGTGCATATCTCCCCCTTTCCCGTCTCCGCAGACCCCTTCCTCCCCCCCGCTGCCCTTGAGCTTCCCCCTGCCGCCCTGCCCTTGCCCCTGCCCCTGCCCCTGCCCCTGCCCCTGCCCCTGCCCTTGCCCACATTGGAACTAGAAGCGGCACTAACAGCAGCAGCAGCAGCAGCATCAGCAGCAACAGCAAGCAGAACGGCATGGTCAGAAGCAGCAGCAGCAAGAGCTGTGGCTTCACCAGAAGCAGCAGCAGCAGGTGCCAGAGCTGCGGCGGCTGTCACTCCCCCATTCGCCTCCTCCTCTCTCCCCTCGGGTCCCTTGACTCCCCCATTCACCCCTTCCTCTCTCCCTGCTGCAGCTGCGACTCCCCCATTTGCTGCTTCGTCTGCCCCGTCTCCTGCCGCCCTTCCTGCTGCTCCTTCTGCTTCTGCTGCTCCTTCCCCTGCTGCTGCGCCTCCTGCTTTCAATGCAGAGGCAGATGCAGAGGGGGATTTGGAGGGTGACTGTACGGAGTGTGACTGTGTGCGGTGCATCGGCCGAGCGGCTCTAGAGCCCATGGTGTTGCGGAACAAGCCACCCAGATGGCACGAGCAGCTGCAGGTATGTGTGTGGGTGCTGGGGGGTGGGAAGCGGTGCACAGGAGTACAAGGTGGCCGAGCGCCCCTAGAGCCCATGGTGCTGAGGAACAAGCCTCCCCGGTGGCACGAGCAGCTGCAGGTATGTGTGTTTATTGGGGAATGAGGAGCGGTGCACAGCAGTACAGGGGAGTATTAAGTGGTGTTAGTATGGAAATAGATGAAGCCGAGCGCCCTTTAGAGCCCATGGTGTTACAGAACAAGCCTCCCAGATGGCACAAGCAGCTACAGGTATGTGTGTGGGTGCTGGGGGGTGGGAAGCGGTGCACGGGAGTACAGGGTAGTTCAAGGGAGTATGAGGCCGAGCGCCTCTGGAGCCCATGGTGTTGCGGAACAAGTCTCGCAGATGGCACGAGCAGCTGCAGGTGAGGGGATACAAGGGGATATGGAGGAGTGCAAAGGAGTATAAGGGAGTATAAGGGGGTATAGGGCAATGTAAAGCTTTCTATCATGGGCCGAGCGCCCCTAGAGACTGTGGTATCGAAGAACAAGCCTCCCCGGTGGCACGCGCAGCTGCAGGTGTGTGTATTGAGGAAGGCAATTACAGATTAGAAAGCGAAGTCTGTCATGAAACATTGGGCCGAGCGCTCCCTCCCCTCCCCTCGCCTCCCCTCCTCGCCTTCCAGTGCTAGTGCCTCAACTTCAGAGGGTGAGTAACGGTTGCTTCGGTGAACAACTTCCAGCTGATAGAGGGGGGTGGGCCGGGGAGCATCTCAGATAAGGCCCTTCCAATCCTCCCTTGCATCCCCTTTTCCTGTCCATCCCATACACGCTTCCAGTGCTGGTGCCTCAACTTCAAGGGGCGAGTGACGGGGGTGCTTCTGTGAAAAAATTCCAGCTGATAGAGGGGGGGGGGGGGGGCGGGGAACGACTCGGACAAGCCCCCTTCTCATCCCGCCCTTGCCTCCCCTTGCCTGCCCTCCCCCTCCCACACTGCCAGTGCTGGTGCTTGAACTTCAGGGGGCGAGTGACAGTGGCTTCAGTGAAGAACTTCCACCTCATAGAGGGGGGCGGGCTGGGGAACGACTCTGACAAGCCGGTGCTGCTTCCCCCTTTCCCACCCCCTACCCGCCTCCCCTTTCCCGTACTCACTTGCAGTGTTGGTGCCTGAACTTCCGTGGGCGAGTGACAGTAGCTTCAGTGAGGAACTTCCAGCTCATAGAGGGGGCGGGCCAGGGAACGACTTGGACAAGCCGGACCTCATCCCCGCTTGTCTCCGCTTACCTCCACTCCCCCGCTCCCAGTGCTGGTGCTTGAACTTCCGTGCCCCCGCTCCCCTTGCCTCCCCTTGCCTGCCCTCCCCCTCCCACACTGCCAGTGTTGGTGCCTTAACTTCCGAGGGCGAGTCACAGTCGCTTCGGTGAAGAATTTCCAGCTGATAGAAGGAGGCGGGCCGGGCAACGACTCTGATAAGCCGGTGTTGCTGCAGTTTGGCAAGATTGGGAAAGATACGTTCACCATGGATTACAGATACCCTCTTACAGCGTTCCAGGTGGGTGCTTCTATCTGAATGAAAGTGTGTGCCTTCAGGTATTGATAGACTTTTGAGACGTCTCAAAAAACAGGTATTGATAGACAGTGTTGCTGCACTTTGGAAAGGTTAGATAAGGATACACTCACCATGGATTACAGATGCCCATGCACAAGCTTCCAGGTGGGTAGTTTCTCAGGTGGGTAGTTTCTCAGGTGGGTAGTTTCTCAGGTGGGTGGTTTCTCAGGTGGGTGGTTTCTCAGGTGGGTAGTTTCTCAGGTGGGTAGTTTCTCAGGTGGGTAGTTTCTCAGGTGGGTAGTTTCTCAGGTGGGTAGTTTCTCAGGTGGGTAGTTTCTCAGGTGGGTAGTTTCTCAGGTGGGTAGTTTCTCAGGTGGGTAGTTTCTCAGGTGGGTAGTTTCTCAGGTGGGTAGTTTCTCAGGTGGGTAGTTTCTCAGGTGGGTAGTTTCTCAGGTGGGTAGTTTCTCAGGTGGGTAGTTTCTCAGGTGGGCAGTTTCTCAGGTGGGTAGTTTCTCAGGTGGGTGGTTTCTCAGGTGGGTAGTTTCTCAGGTGGGTAGTTTCTCAGGCGGGTAGTTTCTCAGGTGGGTAGTTTCTCGGGTGGGTAGTTTCTCAGGTGGGCAGTTTCTCAGGTGGGTAGTTTCTCAGGTGGGTAGTTTCTCAGGTGGGTAGTTTCTCAGGTGGGTAGTTTCTCGGGTGAGTTCTCAGGTATTGTGTTGACATTCTTTTCCCGGTCTCTCCTCTCCCATGTTCTCTCTGTGCGTACCCAGATCAGATGCGTTTTCCTTTTGCCGTTGCTTCCTTGCTTCATATCACATCTCTGCAGTTCACTTCATCTCTACATCTCTCATGTCATGTGTGTGTATGTATCCCCACGATATGGGTGCTTTCCCCGTGGTGTGTCTGTGTGTGCCTGCATGCATCACATGTCCAGGCGTTTGCCATCTGCCTGAGCAGCTTTGATACCAAAGTGGCGTGCGAGTGATCCCATCATCACTTCCATTATCACGCGAGCTGATAGCTTCTCAACTTCAAGCTGTCGTTGAGTCGAGCTCAAAATCCAAGTGCAAGCAAAATAGCGACACAGACAGCTTTTCACGTTGCGTTTTGGATGGTATGGTGTGGTGCTGTTGATGCGTGAGGACAATTCCTTATCAAGAAACAACTAAGGGCAGCAATTGAGAAGAAGAGTGCATGATGATATTTGGGAGACTGGAAGAAGATTTGTTCGATGTGCTGATACAGCGGGTGGTGGCGGTGGTATAATTTGTCTGCTGTGTGGCGCTATTTGCGGATGCAAGGGTAAGTTTCTTCTGAAGATCCAGGATTTTTTTATTAATTATTTCAGATATGGGTTGGTCATTAGGTTTGGACAAAAGTGTTGAGGGATGGATGGGATGGTGATGATGACAGATTTAGGGATGTGGAGAGGCAGCTTCACTTGTTTTCTATTCCATGTACTCTTAGTATTGTAGCAAAGTTATGGCTTATGTTTGTACCAGAGTAGGTCTGTGGCGAATACTCAGTAGTTCACGCAAGCTCCGTTGCCAAGCGTGCATCTGCCCGTATCGGGTACAGGCGGATTCTCAAGTCTCGGACAATTGTCGGTTCAGCTGATTCTACAACGGTCAGCTTGATACCTAGGCTGGTTGGGTAGGGTATTTTGAAACTTGATTCAAATCTGACCAACTAATAAATGCAACTACCAGTCCTCGGCTTCCACTTCGTTCCTGTGACATAGCCGTTTCTACAAGCTTCGCTGCTTAGAGTCCAGTTTTCCTCCACTCCCGCTTTATCCATGGCCACGTCAGCATCCGCGGCGCCGGAGGCATGGCTGCAGAATCAGCTCCTAGCGATGCGCGACGCGCTGCCGTTCCTGGATTCTGACATGGTGTCAGGCTTAGTCAGCTACTGCCCTAATGCCTCCGATGCTGACGTGGCAGAGTATCTTTCAAATATCGTCGGCGAATCGGATCAGTCCATGGCCGTAGTTTCCGGGTATCTGGAACGAAGACGTCAGATGAAGCAGGGCGGCTCGCCGTCTCAGCCGCCGCAAAATCCTCCGCGAAACGCTCGAGGAAAGCAGCAGCACCGGCAGCAGCAGCAGCAGCAACAACAACAAGCGCAGGATTATAGTCACACCAAATACAGTCACGAGAACCCTAACATCGAGGTCTACGTGAAGCCCAAGTTCGACGAAGCTTCCGGATCTGTCTCCGCGCCCTCGCGCAGGACCGGCGCAGGGGGAGGGTTGGGGGAAGGGGGAAGCGCAGGGGGCGCGGAGGCTCCGGAAGGTGCGGCAGCGAGCGGTGCTGCTGGCGGAAAGGTTGGCGGAAGGACTGGCGGAGGGGTTGGCGGAGGGGCAGGAGGAAGCGCGAGCGGGGGGAAATCCGCGGGCGGAAGGAAGCGGAGGGGCGGATTGGCGGTGGGGTTGGCGGATCTAGAGCAAGGGCGGGTGTTTAAGCAAGGCGCGCCGTGCGAGTGCCAGGCGGCCATCCATCACTTAGTTAACAACTGCTTAGCGTGTGGCAAGATCGTGTGCGAGCAGGAGGGCGAAGGGCCGTGTAAGTTCTGCGGCTTTTTGGTGCTTAGAGGGTCTGATAGTATGGGGGATGCGGCTCCAGGGGTGGGAATGGAGGGGGAATGGGAGGAATGGGATGAGGTGGGAGGAGTGGGAGGAGCAGCAACAGGGACAACGGAAGCTGAGGCGAAGGCTCTAGCGTTTAGGGATAGACTGGTGGAGTATAATCGTACGTCGGCCCAACGGACGGTGGTGATCGACGATCAGAGTGATTATTTCAAATCCAACGGGGCAGATGGGGATGAGGATGCTTGGCTGACGAATGAGGAGAGGGAGATTTTGAGGAGGAGAGAGGAGGAGAGGGAGAGGGAGGAGGAGGAGAGGAGGAGGAGAGTGGTTGTTACGCTCGATCTGATTGGACGACGGGTTCTCGTGGCGGATAGCGCTGGGGCTGACGTGGCAGGTGGTGGAGCTGACGCGGCAGGGTCTGCGGGAGCCAAATCAGGGCAGGAAGGTTCTGAGGAGCAGACAAAGGGTGCAAGTAGGGGGGCGAACGGGAAACCAGGGGGAGGTAGAACTGGTGTAGGCAGTATCTTCCTGATGAGAGGTCAAGGAGGCCAAGGAGACAAGGAGCAAGGAGAGATGGAGCAGATCCCTACAGTGAAGCAGGAAGTGGTTTCAGGGATAAAAGTGCTTATAAAGGGGGAAGGTGGCGGAGGGGGAGGTTCGGCAGCGGGTGGTTCGGGCCGAACCCAGCTCATGCCGAGCCCAAACCTTCCAATTGCAGCTCCGGTGTTTGTTAAACCAAGCAGTACTAATAGCAGTACCAATGGTGCTGGTGCTGGTGGTGCTGGTGCTGGTGGTGCTAGTACAACTGATGCTACTGGGCAGGGCAAGAAGGGGAGCAAGGGGAAGAAGGGGCAGCAGGAGCAGCACCATGGGAAGGAACAGGAGAGTGACAGAAGGAGAGGTGCTTATAAGGAGGGCATGGCGAGGCTTCAGCATGACTCCCCACTGATGGAAGCAATGAGAGAGATAGAGGAGGAGGTGGGGGGGAGGAGTGGGTGGGGCGGGAACAGAAGGATTGATAAGGAGAGGGGTTCGAGAGGAGGTGGGATGGGGAGTCATGGAGTGGGGTATAGAGGGGTATCAGTAGGTGAAGGGGGGGGTAGGGGAGGGATTGGGAGAGGGGCGGCAGGAGGGGGATTGGATTCTCGGGAGAATCGAGATAGGGATGGCCCGTGTGGTATCCCTGCTGACCTGGCAGGGCTTGCTGACCTGGCAGACGATGAAGCTGACGTGGATGGGAGGTTTGACATCTGTGTGCAGATGGACCAGCAGGGAGGGTTGCTGAGAGGAGTGGGGGGGGTGAGGGGAGGGAGGGGGGTGAAAGCTGGGATTGATGGGGGGAGAGGGGGAGTGTTGCAGGATGGGGTGGTGTTGCTTAAGGGATGGCTTACAAGGGAGCAGCAGGTAAATTAGTGGCTGATTCCACGTTTCATTAATCCACGTGTCATTTTCCTTATGTTTCCTGCTGCCTGTCATGACCTGTCAACCTTGTTATTCTTGTGAAGCTTATCCTCTTGATTGACTATACTGAACTTGCCTTGAGACTCTAAAACCTGGTGTAACCCTTTCTTTTGAGTGTACTAACCCTTCCTGCAGATTGACATTGTGAAGGAGTGCCGTCGCCTTGGCCTGGGACCGGGAGGATTTTATCGCCCGAAATTCCTCAACGGCGGGCAGATGAAACTTCACATGATGTGTCTTGGGCAGCAGCACTGGGAGCCAAATCTCCGAACCTACCAGCCCCGCCGAACCTATGTAGATGACGCCGAACCTCCCGCTCTTCCCCCCTCCATCTCTTCCCTTGCCGTACAAGCCGTCTCTGCTGCCCAAACGGCTGCCCGAGCCACCTCGGGCAGCAGCAACAAAAACATTCTCCCAGACATGACACCCTCAGTCTGCATCGCAAATTTTTACTCTCCCCGGCGCGGAGCCCTAGGCATGCATCAGGACAAGGACGAGCCGCCCGCTTCAATCCGCCGGGGGGCGCCAGTCGTCTCTTTCTCCGTGGGAGATGCGGCGGATTTCCTATTCGGGTGGCAAAGAGACCCGGAGAAAGCAGCGAGGGTGGTGTTAGAATCAGGGGATGTGGTGGTGTTTGGGGGCCCGTCTCGGCTGATGTTCCATGGCGTGCCATGTGTGCATGGCGGCACGGCGCCTGATTGGTTGATTCAGGTGACCGGGCTCCGACCGGGCAGACTAAATCTCACGGTCAGGGAGCTTTAGATCTTGTTGCGATCAGAAGTAGATCGTAACCAGGATCACCTCAGGAAGGTTCGCACACTTCTAGTCTAGGTGGTGGTGGGCCCTTGACCTCAATAGCAGAGTGAATGTAAAATGCTTGAGATGATAAAAGCATGCAAATACAACGATATAAATAAGAGTACAGGGGAATACGAATCGACCTAGCTAGCCATGTACTCTAAGGGGTACATTCCCTTATTCAAGTTCATTCCCAACCGTGCGGCGCGTACAGCTACGAATCTGTTCCCGCCAGAATCCTTCTGCCTGCAATTGCCCGATGCCGTCTGCTTCGACGGTCCAGATGCATTTCAACCGTCTGACGTTTCGAGTCAATTCTGACTCTTCACATTCGTTTTCGATACTGCATGCTCCTTCAGCTGCGGTCGGGAGTGCACTGTAATCTTCATTCATTGCTATTCGTAACAGATCTCCCTTCCATTTGAGAATTCTAAAAAACGGCCAGGGAGCTGTCGATCGCACTTGCATTCCCTAGCAATTCCCTGGATCCTGATAGTGGTTGCTAGGCAATCCAGCTGAAAAAGGGCCACGTTGACTAGCTACAACACGGTAGCGTATGTTAAAAGCTTGCTTCAGCTCGGCACGTTGACCACTACACTATGATTGGGACGATGATGAATATATGTGGTGCATGCATGAGTCTATTAAGAGAGCTTGTCTGATCATTTATTGCATCCACTAGTACAGCACCACCACCCTGAAGAGTAACAATGCAGGCTTGTCCCTTCCCCCATGCTCTGGTGTTCAGAACTGTAGCAAAGAACAAGTGCAGTCTGTAGCCTCGTCTCAGCAACTGCTGCCGCTACAGGCTACAGGTGTCAATCTCACTGCTGCCACAGCAGAAGGGCTAGCATGCCACAGCTGCTGCACCTGCAGTCTCACTGCTCTCGCAGTGTGGCCGCAACAGCTTCTTCAGAATAATATTGCAGCAATTGTCTCAGCTACAGCTGTAACAGCTACTTCGCTGCTGCCACCTCTGCTCCAACCTTCCCAGTGCCAACCCCTGAACCAAGGACTCTGCCTTTTCCATTCCCACGTTAGAATCACATCTCCTGTACAGCGAGCTGCAGGAGACCTTCACCTCAATCACAGCGAGCGTGAAACACACCCTGGCACGCCCCTCCCGCCCAATTCGTGCGCAGTGTACACTGTATAGCTCACCTCAAAACTCGTCAACCAAACCAGCTATTATTGTACCATTTTCCGAATCTCGGCATTTTTCAGCCCCCAACGAAACACCCCACGGCAATCGCACCGCCTGTCACGCAGCCGTTGGGTTCTCTCCCACTCCACGCGCCACGCGACGAGCTCCACCTCGGGATCGCCGAGCACCCAGCTCCAGTACAGCAGCGCGTGAAACACGTCCTTGCGCGCTAGCGCCTTGGGCTTGCCGTTGCGCCCAACCTCCTGCGCGCTCCCCGTGCGCGTGTTGCCCGTCGCGTTCAGCACCCCGCGCTCATCCACCCGCATCATCAGCCAGTCCGTGCCGCGCCGCCCAGCCTCCAGCAGACGCGATCTAATCTCCTCTGTTTCGGACCCGTTTTTCATATGCGGCGCTACGTAGAGATAGTACCGAGCCGCGTAAACCAATCCTATGCCTTGATAGCTGCAGTCGTAGCCTTGCCTTTCGTAGTTGAAACCCGCTGGATCCTGCATCTCCAATCCGCTTCGGATGTATTCGATCGATTTCAGGATTAGGGTTTGGTTGTTCGTTAGAAGCCCAGCCATGCCGAGTGCCGTACCTGTTAAGTACCGCCTGTGCGCGTGAACCGCGTCGTTTTTCCATCCGATGCGCTCGATGTCAGGTTGGACAAACCACGCCGCCATCGCTGCGATGTGCTTCTCCGCTTTCCGCAGCCACTGCTGGAAGACAGGATGCGCCGCCCAACGCGAGGATTTTAGCAGCAGAGCTGCCCGCGCCGCGGACTCCATGAAAAAGCCTGCGCTGTGGTACACATCCGGGCAGTCGAAAGACCCATCTTCCCGCTGCTGATCGAACCCCCAGTCGTATATTTTCATTCCAATTCGGGCAGCTTCGGAATTGTTGAACGCCAAACCCGCTTGAATAAACAGAAACCCGTAATACTGTTCCTCAATATACCACTTCCCCGCCCCAGTAGAGTCGTATTTCTGGTTGTGCTGCGAATACGCGCCGTTTTCGTTAGCGTGGCCATTCAAATCCGCGATATTGCGCACCGATCGGTGCTGATCCAAGGCCGTGCAGATCGCGAAAGCGTTATCCAGGCGAAAATCGCCGGGGCAATCGTTGTTCGCCGGCCATTCGCCATAAATCCTCTCGTCAAGCTGAGTAAAAAAATCCCGGCCGAGAAACTTTGCTGCGAGCGGCTGAGTGGCGAGCAACCCAACCCATGTCTGCCCGCCATTTTTCTCGCGAAAAAACGTGTCGCGCGACGCGGTGACAGGAACTGCAGCGAGGCGTCTTCTGACGAGAATCGAAGTGACAGCTGCGCGGGTGGACGGCGAATCGACGGAGTCCCAGACACCGTGAGCAATGAACCCGATCGCTCCGAAGAAATTGGCGCACAGAAATATCAGGATGGGGATTCGGCGAGGCTGGACTGATAAGAAGCTGTTTGTTGTGGAAGCCTTCGGAGTGTAGAATAAGAGTTTCTCATTACAACGAGTTGGAGACTTGAGATTGGTCGGAGGTTTCAGTTCATTTGGGAATCTAAGAGGCCTTGTTCCCTCGTTGAAGCTACGGCGATCAGCGGACGCGGATGTGTTGTGCTCGGAACGGACGTAACGTGGCGGCGCGCTCGTTGGACGGGCTGGTGTGGAGACTGGCGGTGCTGGTCTGGCGCTTGTTGCTAGGAGAGCGAGGTAGGCGGCACGAGATGATGATGGCTGTGCGCCGCCATTTGGCGACATGATGTCAGTTCTGGTCTAAAAAATGTTCACATCAGAAGGAAAAAACAGAAAACTACGAGCGGAATGGATAGCGAAGCAGGAGTTGAGTGTCTGGGGATGGCGTTGGGAGTTGAGCGAACGTGGAGGAGAGGAAATGATCAAACTGGAGCCGTGCAGTGCCAGAGAGGTGTTCGACCAGGGGCCGGAAGGTCCGGAAATGACCAAACAGCTGCGCGAGGAGTGTTTAACAAAGAGGCTCGTTACGACTTGCATTTTTACTCATACCTCAATTTTCTTTGGAATCGTAAAAGATTTGTTTTTTCCACCTCGTTTGGCGAGCCAGGTAGCGCTAGTGGCTGTACCGACGCTACCCGGGAAATGTTAAGGCAGCCCAAAAAATCTAAAACCAATAGGAAATCTGGACGCATTTTGGGGATGGATCAACCCTAAACACGAAAACACGGGTTGATGCCTCCCGAGTCGCATCTGTGTCCGAACGGTTTTTTTTTACGTCAGCTAAAGTGATGTTTTTTCTGGAAAGCAAGAATGCATTTCTGTTAAAAAAAAAACATGATGAATTGTACTTCCGAAGGAAAGCGACGCAGGCTTTGTGTTAGGCGGCGATTATAACCTGTAAAAGTAACATTGAACCAAGAATGTCGAGCTTTTATTTTTTTTCCTTCAAATCTTGCTTCGAATTTTCGGCCTAACCACGTGGGCAAACCCGGGTGTGTATCCAACGGTTGGGATTAACCCAGCCCTAATTCGGTCACCTCCCTGCTATTGTTCGGACCCTATTTGATCTTCTCCCGAGGAGAGACGAGACGAGCAGCTGTAGGTGAAGCCTGGCCAGACGAAACACGCAGCTTCACTCCAGCAGAAGCCTCGCAACGAAGGGTTTGTATTTCCAACCCAAACGTAGAAACCAAAAGCGGAGATGGGAAGCCAAGGGCAGGCGACAACCAAACACAAGGCTGGTCCACAAGGCTTGGAAATCGGTTCGGGACCAAGCCGAAGGTCCCACTTTCTGGCCTCGAACCAGAGCTGTTTCATGGTTCGGAAGAGTCTGGTGGCTCGGGATGGAAGTTGAAGCACCCCCAGCCACACAGAGATTATCGTCACTCGTGCCGTCTGTTATGTACTGACAGTCGGGAGCCTGGCTACAGTGCGAACGTGTGCTTGGATTTAGCGGGCTGGTGCTTGCAACCGAAACCCTGGTAGGTGGCGGGCAAATCCACTCCAGGCGAACGGTGCACGGCGGTTCTATGAACGTAACGTAGCTAGTG